CAGCTCAACGTTTTGCCTGTGAGGTGTTCCTCCATTTGGGGTCATTATTTTGACGGTTTCTGGGGGTTGTCAAAGTCAGTAAATGGGGTTGTTTCCCTTTAACCCACCACTTAGGGGGCGACTTTGATCAAGGCAAAATAATGAGGCCAGTCCATTTGAGAGAGAGAGTCCATTTAATCCTCAAAGCCGAAAACAGTGAGAACTTTCTGCAGCGGGCCCGCTCGTTTGGCCGAGAAATTGGGGGGGGGGGGGGGTGAGAAGTTTGCGGAAACCACTGGTCGCCTTTACGCTAGGCATGGATATGCTTCGCCGATTCAGTGGCTGAGCCTTTCCAACCGATGAAAGCTTCCGCCTCGTGCCACATATCCTCAAGCACCTGCAAGGTGTTGGGTCTCAGTGCGGAAGTTCAAGGGGGCTGAGCATAGGAAACCACATGGGGTGGTTCAGTTTGGGCGGACGGTCCTTTACTGAAACGTATCTATTCAATGCGCTACGACCAGTCAGTGATAGGTACCATCAGGACCCTCCCACCAATTAACATGAAACCTGACAGGGGGATCCTGGAGGACTATTTTCCTTCTGGAAGGGACCGGGTTCCGAACGTCAGGTTCCATGTTAAAAGGCTGGGAGGGTATATGATTTATGTGGCACCAACCAAGAATGGTTTCTCATGGTTCCAGAGTAGTGCGAAATGGATTTCGTGTATCCCCTGTAGGTACATGATAGATGTCAACAACAACTTGCGGGGTGATTCCTGAAATTCCATACTGAGAGCCATGAGTTCAGAGTTCCGTACGGAGTTCCGCTTGCGGCGGCCCTGAGCCGCCCCAACCGACACGCCAGGGGATGGCCAGCTGATTTGGCTTTTGCCCGAAAAATCTCCGCCACTGTGTCCATCTTTTGGGCAGGCCTGGTGGTTTTGCCACAAGAAGCCCAAGCCCATGAGTTTGGTGCATTTCAGAGCGCCCCTGCGCTGGCGGACTTTGATTCGAATCAAGCTTGGGGTGGCTATGGCTGGCCGCGCAAGTTTCCCCGTGCCGAACCAAGAGGCGAGAGAGAACCAAAAGAAGACGAGTCTTGCCGGGGAACCCCGGATCGAAAAGTGCCAATATACTAATTTATAGCTTCCCCATTCTTTCCAGGGATCCTTCGTTCTAGAAAACCGCCGCAAACCCAGGGAACACGGCTGGTGTTTGAAAGAAGGGTTGGAACCACCCCCCTAGATATAGGGGCTACTGGCAGCCCTGGCTGGGAAGAGACGTTGACTTTGTCTTAATCAGGTGAAAACACCCAAAATATGTGCTTCCTTTTGGTTTTCCCTCTGACCAACCCACATATTACCGCTCAAGAAAGGCGCGGCCAGTTGAAGAGGTTACTTTTGAATAGGGGATCAGGTTAGCGTTTGGTTTCCTTCCTGGCGTTTCACGAGGAATTCGGAATGCGGTATCATTCTGTATCAGCCACTTCTGATGATTGGCTTCAAGTTTTCTGAGGGATGGATGATTGGCAAGGCCTGGCATGGCACCACTGTGGGGCAAGCTTTACTGGGTGAAAGGATTCGCAGTGGTCAAAGTTGGCCTGAATCATTTGCTGGGGACGGGCAGAATTGGTAGTAAGGGTAGCATTATCTGAGTGGTTCCCAGCCATCCGGTTCCTTAGCTTCTTGGCTTTTCAGTGTTTAGTGGTTGGGGTTCCATTTAATCCACTGAAAAGTGAAACCTTTAGCGGGGGATTTTGAGGACAGCCCGTTATGGGGTAGGGATGAAACTGACTTGTCCGCCGACAAGTCGGGTATAGTGAGGGTCTGTTAGTGCTTAGATGACTGTTGTCGGGTGGTTTTGACATTTCCCTGTTTTGCGGGTTCAGGATTTGACCCCGAAGTCCCTGATTAAACTGAAGGAGACGGCTGGCACGTACTTCACTTCATTGCCAGAGTTAGCTTAGCTATTCACCATGTCTGCGTTGTTTATGCCGTCACTTGGTTTTTGTTGATTTGCGGTCAAACCAGGACACATGAGTCGTTGGGTTGCAAGGGTTCCACCCCTTCGGCCCAATTTATTTCCATTGAAATGATTGCAGGAGACTGCTGAGCACCCCTACCTTGGCACTTGTCGAGGGGACCCAGTTCAGTGCCACCGATTCAATCTGTTGCCGAATCGCCTTTTTTGGGTCTGGCGATTCGGCTCAGGTTCCATTCGCCGACAGTTCTCGTGGAGCTTTTCAGGTGTCCTCTCAGCGTTGTTCTAACTCAGGGTGGCTTAGGGAACAGGGTGAGCACATGCGCATTTTTTGGTTGAGCGCCGTGGGCCGAGGTTTGGAGATAGACTTTTGCCAGCTCGGACAGTTGACTTTATGTGCCATCTACTGCACACTGCTGAGATGAACCCCGCTGATGCATAGAGTTGCAGATGTCGCTGAACCCTCCCACAAATATGGAACTTGACTCGACTGGAGGTTGCTGGGAGACCATTCTCCTCTTAAAAGGGAGCTCCGATCCAGCTGGTTGGAGCATAGCTCGTTTGGGGTTCAGCAGTTCCTCCATGCGACAGTTTGGTTTCATAGCACCCCGCGGCCCTGTTCTTTGCTCAGGCCTTTAATGCAACTCATCAGGGGCTCTGAGCTCGTTCCAGGAGAATCCCGAAGCCGTGGATGCAGATGACCAGCGGATTGCAGAGATTTGGGCAGGCACGGAAGCTGATCTGCCGGCCTGACGGCGTTTTGCTTGGTCAGAGAACCTGATTTGTGGAGCCGAATGTCATTTAGATTGGGGGGAGAAGCGTCCCACCCATATTATGACTCGGTTTGCTTCGTTTGAAGGCCGGACCAACACAGGCAGTTTTATCATTGCCGGACTTGGCTCACCTTTGGACCGTTTTGCTTTTCCTTCTTTTTCCAAGGGAAAAAACAGTCCCACTGTTTGGCCCTGATATGGGGGTGGATGTTCTGAAAGCTCGAGAGGCACGATCAAGACTTGGGAATAACAATATCTTCCGCGACTCTAGGATTCTTGAAAGGGGATCTATCTGACACAGAACCCCTGACTGGAGGTTTGTGGTGAACACCACTTTGCTCTCAAAAGAACCTATGCGCGATGTTCATGGGAGGTATTTGTCCAAAAGGCCAGCAGGGTAAGCCGGGGGATTTTGAGCCAGGATTCCACATCGGAAGCCATGGGTTTTGTTTGCCCCTCAAGCGGGTTTCCTTTTGGGTACCCATCCCCATGGATTCGTCTTCCCAGAAAGCCCCAAGGGATGGTTAATCTGCGTCCAGTATTGCAAGCTGGCAGGAGGGTGTTCGAACTATTTTCCTTTGGTGGAAGCTTCCTGTCCACTTGCATGGTGGGACAGGAGTTGTTCCCTTTTCTAGACCCCTTTTGGCACCCAAAACCAAATCAACGCCCCTTGCGCCCATGATGCTACCATACTCAAGAGGGATCCGTTTCTGGGTCGGGATGGGCTATACACCTGCTGGGTTGTGGGGGTCGGGGGCGCGGGCTCGGCCCTGAACCCTGAGCCTCACTCCAGTCTTTGCAACTTAAGCAGGGCTCCTTCAAAGATGCATTTTCCCTATTTGAACCATGTTGCTTTTTCCACCAGGATGAAGGGAAACCACCATTTGCAAGGCAATGTTCAGGTGTAAAATGTAAGGATCCCTGTTAATTAAGCCTGATTTGGAGGTACTTCGGTGAATTCCAAACGTCCAGAGCCCGCGTGTTCCCTCCCATCTTTGGAAAAGGGTTTGACATCAAGATCTTCTCACTCCATGAGTTCCTGGGCTTTGCAGATCCCATGCGACGTAGGCTCCACCGGCAGATCTCGAGCACCTGGAGCAGCCAGCAGGCCGGGGGTGCCAGACCAAAGGCTTGCCTTTTTTAGCTGTTTGCCTTGAAAGGATGATCCTTCATGCAGTTTTGGAGTGTCCATAGGGGGTGGGAAAGCCCTGACCTTCAAACCACCACTCCAAACCAATTTGTTGACAGCTGAAACAAGACAGCGAGCTTCAAACCACCTGAGCCACAATCAAAACCCGGGTAAGTGAAGGTTAGTACGGGACGATCCCAGCCATAAAATAGCTGCGGCCGCCTTCTTAGTTCTTTACATGGCTCTGGGTCCACTTCCTGAGTTCATGAACTTGAAACTTTTTGGGTTTGGACAATTTTAGTGGTATAAATGTAAAGTTTGGGCCTTTTTTGGGGGCCATCCACTCCGGTGAGGCGTCACCTCTCGCCGCGCGAAGTTCTCGCGTATCGCAAAGTCACCGCCAGGAAGGTGGCGCCAACTCCGCGGCTCCAGATGCTGCGGCGCCCTCGCAGGCGGGCAGACCATCCCTGGGCTGAGAAGTGACCGGGTTTCGATCGGTTTCCGGTGGCCAACTTTTCCCTTTGGAAATCGCCTCAAGTGGCAGAGCTGCAAAGGGAAAAAGCCCACTTGGATGGATCAACTTTTGGGAAGCTTGGGAAGTTTGGGAGCCTCCAAAAGTGGCAGATCTTCCGAAACCAGCAGCTTCAGCTTTCTGGTTTGGGAAGTCCAGTCCCCAGTCCAGCACATCGTTGTGTTTTGCAGCACCTCAAGCAAATGGAACCGGAAGCTAGCATATTGATTCAGATCCAACTCGCACTGGCCAGTGCGGCCCAATGGTGACACTTAGTCCCTATATGCGGTCAGTTGGGGCAAGTACGGGCTTTGAACATTCCATGTTCTCTCCACAGCTTTGAATCAGCTGAGAAATCCATGGCTTTCAATCAGTTCCTGGACCAAAAAAACGTAGGTGTGAACTGACCATCTTCGTGGCAACTGTGGCAAGCTTTTGGGCTCGGCGCATCTGAGGCGTGAGAAATCCCATGGTTTAAAAAACAAAACAACTCATGGCCCGGGGTCTCGACTTCGCGCGGTCCTGTGTGAGCGGAGGCTGCTGGACCCGTTGGAGGAGTCCATCTTGGAGACCTCCTCCCTTCATCGCCGTGTGGAGGAGCTCGTGGCACAGAGCCCAGAGAAGTTGACATGGAGCGGCGAAAGGGAGACGGGGATCCCATTTTGGTGGGGCCCTGCCAGGTTTGGCCACGTGTTTGGGATCTTCTTCGATTTCAATTGATCGACGTCAAACCTTTTTTTCCCTGGCTTGCCACGTATGCAACAAGGGGTGTACTGCCTGTTATCTTTCTCTTGGCACACAAGCCTCTCAGGGTCAGTAACCCTGATGCACACCCTTCTGGGAGTACTTCCTTATGAGCGTCTTCGGGAAAATGCAAGGGGGTCAATGCCCTTCCCGGACCAATGAAGCTGCTGGATTACGCGAGTTCCCTGCTCCCCGTAACTTGCTAATTTTGGGCTGCATTCCACGAAACTCGCTTCTCAACCTCCAGATATACTTTTGGGTTGTCCTTTGCGGGAAGTTCCCATTCCCATGTCCAGTGCTTCGGACAACCCCCGTGGCCCCCCATCCCAAGCCCCCAAGCCGGCTGAGCCCCGAGCCGATCCGAGATCCGAGGCCATGGCGCGGTCGGTGTCCGCGCTGGAGATCTTCGCGGACCGCCAGCCGGTGGACTTTGGGCTCACGGCGCGGATTCGTCGAGTTCGGCGATTTCGGTCGCGGGCGGTCGGTTCTTGCGAGCCGCGAGAACGGTCGAGGCGTACGGTTGCGGTTGTCCTTTGCTGGGTGCTAAGGATGGGAAGCACCAAGGACGAAAGAGAAGCACGAAGGGAAGAGCGCCATGTCTTTTTTTGGTTTGGGGGGGGATTAGTTGAGGGAAACTCACTAGTCCAGAGCGAAAATCGGCCTTAAAGCCTTTGGACTTCCTTCTGTGGTTCTGATTTAGAGGCTCCACAAGTTGAACCTTTTGTTTCTATGCCCTTTGGGCAAGTGAGTTTGAGGGTTGGCAATTTTCCTGTTTTCAGACCCCCAATTTTGAAAGTTACATCTAAAAGCCACCTTTACAAGGATTCGGATCCTAAATCAAGGGTTGATTCCTATAGTTCCTTGTTTGGCTTTTCAGCCTCATTTTTGAACCCCTAAGACCATGGACCAAAAAGGTTTCATGTTAGCCCGCTGTCCTACTCTGTTTGTCCTTTGCATTTACCAAAGCCCGGACTCTTTGCGCTAGCCTGGGGAGACAAAACTAAGACGCTCGCAAGGAAAAAGCCATGTGTGGAAAGCACAGTTCCAGCCAGAACTCGGCGCTGCGTTCTGCCCTGCTGATTCTTTGCCATGGCTTTGGGTGGACCCCATGAATAGTAGGTTTTGATGGTGACTCACCAGGGGACGTTCAACTTGTCAACCAAGTCAATCCTCAGTCCTTGTGCCACATGGTTGTGGTTTCCCTTGATCCCCGTCTTGAACATGCCAGCTCAATTGGTGGTTTGGATTGCTTCTTGTTCCCCATTTACCCTGCCCGCTTGAGGAGACTGAGGGTTGCCTTTTATATAAATGGGTTGAGATTCTGGCTTTCCTTTTGGCAGGATCCCCCCCCAAAAAAAATGGCGCACACGCACACAAACCCCCCCCCCCCAAGAAATGCGCACACGCGCAGACCTTCCGGGTGACGATGGTCGTGTGTTCAGGCGGTGGTGGAGCTCTGGCTGGGCCCAAACCAGGTGCTGCACTCCAACCAAGACACGGCGCGGCTGGGGCGCGGGGAAGGGGGGCTGGTTGTTGTTGGGAAACATTTCCCATTTTGCTGATTGTGGTTTAGTGGTTGAACTCCAAATCCACTTAACTGCTAAGAATTAGATTCTTGCTCCCGATCCAACTTCAACCAAGGGGCGGGGGGCGAAGGCGCGGAGCTGGGTGGAGCGAGCTTGGGCTGGGCCAGATGGAGTGCTTCGGGGGTTTATGGTTTGGTTGGGGGGGTCTGGCGGTTGGCAACTTGGGGTGGCTGAGGCAAGAGGGTGCAAAGATTTGGACCTTCAGAAAGCCGGTGGATGCCTGAGTCATGTTGGAGAGTGATTAGTAAAGGGCCCCCCCCCTCTTCTTATACTAATCGCTATCTAACATTTCCAGGCTTGTGTTGGATGTCTTACAGTTGTCCAGCGCCTTGTTTTCTTCTTCGGTGGGCTCCCTTATGGTCAAATCATTGGCGACATACGCGGATCCCTGTTGCTACTGTTTTGGGAGGAGGCAACAAGCTGCAGGGTTGCCAATTCGGGGACGGCCCAAGCCCGGGCCAACATCAGCCCAAGGGATTAAACCTAGCCTCTGCGGACAGTTCGATCTCACCACGTATTGGCCATATGTGCAGCGTCCCCTGAAACGTGCCTGAGGGTGTACGGATTTCTGTAGCCTTCTTGGGTTTCCCTTGGACAATGGGTCTGCCTTACCCCTCAACGTGCTCACTTTGAGTGGCCGGAGAAACGGGGCCCAGTTTCAGTTTCACCCCCTGGAACACAAACCCCAACGGGCTTTGAACTTTTTGTCCAAAGCAACCTTTTTTGTCCAGGCCCGCATGTATCTATGTTTCATGCCACAGGGAACCTGCTGAGGGGGGCTCCTGGAGCACATGTGTTTCTCCTCCACATGGACTTTTGGCGGGTTCCATGTGGGTTTGTTTTTTTGGAGGAGTATCAGTTTTCAAGTTTCGTCAAAGGGACACCAAAAGAAACACTTGTTCTGTTGTTCTCTGTTCTTCGTTTTTTTGTTTTTAATATTTGTTTTGTTTGGGGGGTCTCCCGATTTGCCACATACCCATGTTTAAAGTGTGAAACAGGCTTCCTGGGCTTGTGCCAGGTTGCGAAAACTGCTTGGAGCCCCTCGGCGAAACGGGCGCTGGGAACAGAAAACGCAAGGGGACACGCACGCTGCCGCAGGCTGAAGTGATTTGCATTGTTTACATAGGTCCTTTTTGGTTGTTTTGGTAGGAAAATAGATGGCCCTGGTTTACCTGGTGGTTTAATCATCTACCAGGGCCATTTGTTTCCCCTAAAAGGACACCTATGATTGTTCAGTTTACACACCTGGATGACTAAGAAGTATTTAGCTGATTTCTGGTTTTGTTGATGTCGGATTTACGACTTCTCACTTCTCACTTGCCCAAAGCCGCAACAACCAGGCCCTTGTGAAGGTTCCACGCAAAGGGCCCGGCAATTACCTGGGGTGGTACCTGAAAAGTGGCCCTCTTTTACCACCTCCAAGAGACCCCTCCCCCCCCCCTCAGGGGGTTAAGGGTGTTCAATTCGCAGGCCTCAAGACCCGACATGGCCTCTGAGGCTCTTTGGGGCTTCGCGCAAGGATCAATCTAGTGTTGCTTGCTTCTCCGGTTCGAAGCTCACCTGCACAGGCCACAGCAGGCGAAATGAAGCTGAGCTTCCTTTGAGTGACTGGCAGCCCAGGCCCCGAATGGCACTGCCCGAAAGAAGGTTGCTCAATTGTCTCTCCTTGCTTGGACCTTCAGAAGTGGCAGCTTCAGTGGAACCCAGCAATTGGGGCCCAGAAGCCCAGACAGTGGTCAAACATGTCTTCCAGGCCAGTGAACTCAGGACCATGTGTTGATGGCCAGGACCATGTGCTTCATGGCTGGAGTAGCATTTGCTTCAAACTTTGGGCGCCCATTTGCTCCTAATCAAGCCCCCAGATAGATTGTCCTGGTGTATTATTGGGTGGCGGCTCACCCAAGAACAAAGGATGGCAACTTTCCAACTTGTGAACTCCCTGATGTTGGTGGCTTCCTCACTAAACCGGAATCAATGTCAAACATGGAACCCAGAAGTCCCCCCCCCCAACAAAACCCCCCCCCAAAAAAAAAAAGAGAGAAAGAAAACAGATAGTCAATTCAACCCCCCAAAAAGGGCCCTCCCCTTCTCATCCTTTTGGCCTCAGGTATCACTGGGCCTGGGAGCTGGCTGTCCGCGAAGCAGCTGGACACGAAGGCGTGGGACACGTTTTTACAGCAACCTCTGAGCAACTGCCTTGGATACACCCCACCCTCCCCATTGCTGAAGAGTATGTGGGTGTGGGTCAAAATTAATAGGGGACCGCCTGTTTTAGTCATGGGTTCCATTTACCAGGGCAAGCCATTGTGGGTACCCATTTCTGACCCACGGCCATGTGTCATTTCCCGTATTGGTTTCTTCAGGGAGCCGATCAAGGTAAAGGTTACCCTTTGAAATGGGCCCTGTTGACACTCCCCGAGATACATGCACAACAGCCGTTACATGTCAGCTTGCTTATGTCAACCTCGTTCTTTGCATCTGCATATCATAATGTGTCCCAAAAAGTACACTAGTTGGTTGGCAGTAAACGTGTCCAGCATATATAATCATGGATGAATCCTTCAGGCCAGCCTGTTTTTTCCCCCTTTTTTGCCTAGGTCCCTTCCCTGAGCACCAAGTCAGGTGGATGAATCCTCCGGTGCCAACGGGATTTCTCGGCTTCACCTTGAGGTTTGAGGCGCCCCAGTCGGGCGTCTCGAGTCACACGGTCAGGCCGCGGCGGAGAAAGCCACGTACGCATGGCGCTTGCAGGCACCGAGCCCAGGTGGTTGGTTTGGGTTGGATTAGTTTGGGATTTGAAGTGGCTTTTGTAGAGGGATGGGGGGCTTTCAGAGGTGTTTCAACCAGCTTAATACAAAAGGGTGGCTTTGGGCCCCCAAAGTGGTCTGAATCCCCACTGAAGCCAGTTGGACACCCCATTAAGAAACTGGGGTTGATTGATATGGGGTTAACATGAGGAATTCACCCAGCCTCATGGACCACCTGTGGTAACGGGGATCCTCGAAATCAGCTGGAAATGGTGATTTTTTGGAATCGCCCAAACGGGCATGCATGAAAACAGGGGACCGCTAGAATTTGTGGTTTTCGTTTCGGTTTTCCCTCAAGCTTACCTGCAAAAGAGGCACCGTCAACAATAACGCATCCCTTCTTTTGTTGCACGATAGGTTACTGGGTGTGTGTTTTAGGTTCCAAGATTACCAAGCACACATGCGACATACAAGGAACCAAAGGTGGACTGCTCTTTTTTGGGGAAAGGTGGACTATTGCCCCACGCAAGCCCTTTTCGGGGAGTCCGAACCTTTGCCCTGTTTCGAGGCACCCTTTGCATTCGCGCAAACGCGCGTGGATGTGCGAAACAGCGAGCTTCGAATCACTCCGATTGGCATGGGCCCAAACTTACGAGTTCCGTTCCCTTTTTTAATGGGCAGTTTGAGGGTCCGTGTGCTCAGGTAAGCACGTTTCTGGGGGTTCCACGTCAAAGTTCGTGGAGACACCTTCCTTTTCCCGCCTCGTTCGGCTTTCGGCATGTGAAGTGACCGGTTCGAAGCGAGGTGGAGCTGAGAGCCGCTCAGCTTGCATTGCATTCCGAGAGATCCAAACCCAAGAGAGTCACTGGCCGCCTCTCAGCATAAGCTATTCCAAGGATTTTTCGGCCGGATTCCTGGGATTCATGTTGACCCCCTTATTAATCAACCAATTGATTCATAGGGGGGCTGCTTTTCCCTGAGTCAATGGGGAGGCAGACCACTGCACAAGTACCCCCACAACACAGGCCCCTCGATCCATTTCACGCCATGGATGGTTTGCCCTTTCTGAGCGTAATGAAATGAGCCAAAGCAATATGGATCTAACATTCTTTGGAATCTTTACATGGGCAACTGACATACCGGGGGAACATGATCCCCCCTCCTCAAGGTCGACGAGGATGGGAAACCCAGTTTTTGGAGTGTCCCTCCGGCGTTATTTCGGCAACGAAATGTTGATCTGCTCTGTGAGTATTTAAGCTCTACACCTCACGCCCTCATGGCTTGGCTGATGCCTAAGGATGGCGTTACGGATGCCAACCCTGCTGGCATGGAGCCCGGGAGTTTAACGTCCAGTCGGGCACACGGGTGTGCTCATGACTTTGTCTGGGTCAACATTTGGAAATGAGAAGGAGCAAACGATAAAGTAACTAAATCCTAGGTTTGGGAGGGCCACGTTGAAGATGTACGTCCTTCATGCTGAAGGCTCCAAATCCATTAGAGGCTTTGCCGGCGGCTCAGCAGAACTACTGGCTGACCATGTTGCTACTTGCCAAACTTGGGACCAGGAGTGTCCTTGCCCCCCAACTCATGGGGTCCCCAAATAAACTCAGGCCCACAACTGTGAAAATTGAAATTGAGGGGGCGTGTTAATCTGTTGCGATGCCACGGGAGCCCCTGGAAAAAGAAAATCTTAAAGCTGATTTTGCAGGTACTAAAACTCAGCCGTACCATAATCCATGGCTGTGCGTGTGTGTAGTTTTGTTTAGCTGTCCCCGAATAGTGAATGGTTTAGGTGATAAGGTAGTCATGGGATTGCCCACTTTGGCTGTCACTGGTATCACAGAAAGGGTCATTGTCCACAAGCACCTTGAAAGCTTGAACAATCTGTGTTGCTGTCTTCTTTTTTTTCCTTTTTTTTTTTCTCTGGCGCTATCCCTTGTCAAAATCCACGTCTCGCGGCCAACCAAACGAACGAGAAACAACAAACACAGCGGTGCGGAACCGCTTTGTTTCAAACTCGGGTTAGTTTTACTTTCCGAATTCACTCTGCAACGTTTTGGCTGTTTTTGGACAGCTTGCACTTTCCCGCAGATTCGCACATTGCCCATTGGCTTCCGAGGTTAGAAGGGCACCTCAATATAAAGCAAGGTCTTTCCACTTACCCAATTCAACCAGGTCTTTGGAAGGTTTGGGCTTGACCAGCCCATGTTCAGTGCTTTGGTTTTCGCAGGAGGGCGACCACATCATTCCGGTGGTGCTGCCGCGTGAAGAGAAGGCCGGCGGCCCCACCGGGTTTGGAGGCTATGGATTTTCTCAACAGCGGGGCAGGAATCCCCTTGCAAATTAGGTACACCACAGCTGCCCCATAGAAACCCAAAAACCGATTGCACGGTAGTAGTTGATGGGCGCATGTCAGATGTCCCAGACGCCCGCCGAGCACGTTGTTTTGTCATGTTGTCTTGGTGGGCTTCCCTCAAAAAAAAGACGGAAAAAACAAGAGCACATTTATTGGTTGCTGGGTCCTCTCCAAAGGTGATGTAGAACGCAAAAATGGGGCACTGCGTGCTTTGTTCAGGCCCGAACAGGGTGCGCACATTGCCTCGCTCTGGCTCCTGCCGCTGTAAAAAGCGCATCACTTGGCAAAATGTCGACAACTGAAAATCCCTGGAGGCGACTGATGAACTTCAAGGGCACACTGGAAGTTCCCAGTTTCTTTGTGGAAGGGCTTGACCAACAACGTGTTCCCCTGACAAGGCAACTAAGTAAGCAGGTGTGCATCACCGAAATGGTTCAAAAAAAGGTGATTCTTGTACTACGCACAAACTTGCCTGGCAGAGACGAGAGGCTAGGAAGAAGAGGCTAGGAAGAAGAGGCTACAAGAGGGGTGGCTCCGAAAAAAAGAACAACCTAGAGATTCGAATGCCGAGGAATTCCTGGGCGTTCTGGTTCTCAAGGCGTTTCAGGCCATTTGCGTACCCGCCATCCCGCTGCGGCCGCCCCCCGCTCCAAGGCGTCCGCGCCCAAAGCAGGGTCAATGCCGAGAATTACAAAGGGACTTCCTCGACGCTTGAATCTGGAATGGCAAAAACTGTTACAAGTTCGGTTCAATCCTGAATGCTTGCCAGATAGAAGGTCCCTTTGCATCGTTCCTGGAGTCTTCATGACCAAGTAGTTGAAAATGAGGCCACAGCCCCTTTTTTTTGGCAATTCATGTTATTTACCACATGTTTGAAGGGTCATTGAGACTCGATTTCCAGGTTGTCTCCATGTCTTGGATGGGATGCTTTATCCTTGAGCTTTCTCACAGGTGGGCGCTTCCCCGGCAGAGATCGACCTTCTGTTTCAGGAGGCCGCCGGGAGGGGCCGCTTCCGCCCCCCTTTTGTCCTCTTGTTGTCTTCCACGTGCCTAAGACCTTTTGTTTGTTTTCCCTTGTTGGTTTTAAAAGGATTTTTTTTTACTACAGGGAATGTGTTTATTTTTGTCCAGGGGTCTGAAATGGAAGTTGTTGGCGGGGGTTTCCCAAATTTCGTCCATTTTTGTTGAACCCCCACAAGTCTGGTAGTGATTGGATGGTTTCAATGGAAGCCACCAGTATATCGATCGGCTCTTGATTAGGGGAGATCCAGTCAGCCCTGTTTCCCTTTAATACCAGCCCCAGTTGTGCCACAGCACCAAGCCCAGACACATGGCTGCAAGTCCCATTTTTTCTTCGCTTTTTCGACTTGGAATTTGGAGGGGTGTTTCCCTTTAAAATCGTGTCTTTTTTCCCCATAGCAATCCACTGGGGTTTGGGTGATCCGGGTGGGGGTTGGTTTCTTCCTCCCAGAGATAAGCCTTCACTTTTCGAGGGGGCACCCAACTATTTACCCCCCTATGGATCCGCACATTTCATCCGAACTATCTGAACCAAGTATCCCCCTGGCCCACACGCGCCTTTTTATGTGGCAACATCCCCCATCTCACCCAATGTTCCGCGAGTCTCTGCTTGACATGGTGAGCACTTTCCCAGTCAGACTGGGCCCCAAGTGTTGTGTGATTTGGGGAATCAGCTGGGTCCGAATTGGTTTATGTTTGGCCCTGATATGCCAGCAGTGGTGTCGCAATTCATGGATGTTCACACCAAGACCTCCAGAGCTGCCCGGTTTCCAGTTTCGCTGGAGTGGCGTTCGTTTGGAATAGCCCTTTTTTCCTTCGGCCGTTGCTCTGGGCAGAGGTAGGGCCTTTCAAGACTACCTCACATCAAAACAACTTGTTTGGTCATCATCGTGGCGGGCAATGAAGCGTTGGGCGATTTTATGCGCCCGGGCTTTTGTCTGAAACCTCATGGCCCGATGGTTACCCTCACACTTCCGGACGAGTGGATCCTGAAAAAGTTGGCCACCTTGGTCTCTAAAAGTTGAAAGTCCAGGAACTTGGGAAGAGAGTTTGGGAATCACTAGAAGTGTGCGGCGCTGTTTGAGCAGAGGAACAAATCCTTTGGGGCTGAGGTGCCAAAGAAGCGAGATCGGCTTTGGGGGGTTGGAAACAAGCACGGTGCCAGGCAACATGATGTGGGGTGTTTCTAGGTCTCCGGAATAAACACAAAACAACCTGGTTCAGGGGGTGCGAGCAAGTAAGGATGGACATGTCCAAAGGGAGAACCCAAGGATGCCATGCCAACTGTCCAAGTTGCGCGATTTATTGTGTGGAGGTTTGCAGCACTTTGACCTACCCCAGGGCCAGACCAAAAGGGGATGGGCAACTTCAAAAAACAGCTCAGGTGACATCCCCAACAGCAACACGCCCGTGTGGGTTCTGTCGCAACGGTTAGTCCTACTGAAACCCTCGCGGAACCCCTCCGTGGCCTTGCAGAACCCTCGCGAACTCGTGGAACCCGCCCAGAATCACCTCAGAGCCGCCCCGAAGCACCCTCGGCCCTATCTGGGCTGAGACCCGCTGTTGGGGAATAAAATAACATAAATCCAGAGCCACCTAGAACACCTACCTTGTTCTGGCATGGCAGAGAATGAGGTCTTACACTTTCCTGATCTGTGCATGTGGGGAAACAAAGAAAAGGGGTACATAGTACAGACAACATTTCAACCACACGGGTTGCGAGCCCAAGACTTTTCCCCCTGTCCTTGTCCTTCAGGAGGGGTCACACTCCCCCACAACCTCCAAGCCACCAAAGTGTTGGGGGAAAGCCACTCCCAAGCTCCAACCCATCCAAAGCATCCCCTCTAGGTCCCCCAGTAGTGCCTTTTTTTTTTACCCCTTTTTGGGTTGGGAGGGTTTCCCCTACTGAAATCGACTAGAGAAAAAAGTAAGGGTACCCTTACTTCACAATACTTCACAGCTATTGGGTTGGATCTTCCTCTGCCCCAAAAAGTTGAAGTCACTTTTTGCAGGGTCGATGCAGCCAAGCCTTCGAACCCCTGGGCTCCATCCGAACGCCTCGGAGACTCAGAGACTCGGAGGTGGAGGAGGTCTTCCGGGCCAAGAAGCTGGGCAAGGAGCTGGACATGGACCAGCTGGCCGGGTCGAACCGCATGGGTCGAACCGCATGGCGATTTGGGGTGTGGCTCAAAATTAGGCAGGAGGGACAAACTGCAGGTCTTGGTGCATGTTTCCACTTCCCAGGGTTCCATTTTGGTGCCGGTTTTTTGAGCCACAGCCATTTTGTTTTAGGTGGGGATTTCGGGTGATGCGAACAAATGGCCCACGAATTTGGGTGGGTTTAGACTCCTCATTTTAAACCCAATTTGCGGGTTTTTGTTTTCCCTTGGCAGGGGTGCAGATGTGTTTTGGCTTTCTGAGTTGGTAGTGGTTGGTGGATGTAATTACAGGTTCTTGGTTGATCAGGTTGTTTGGAAGAAAGGCTGGTTGGTTGATGGGGTTTTGTCGATTTGGTTGGTTGACTTTGCCAAAGGTTGATTGGGCTTGTTTCGGCCGAAAGTCAAATTAGGTATATGAGGTCCCCCGAGGTCCGGACATCCACTGGAGACCATGTTGCTTTGGTTTGGGCTGGGTGGTGGGCGGTGGATGATTCCCTTTCAAACCAACCTACCCCAAACGTGGGGGGTTTGGGAGAAGGTGCAAACCTTGAACCAAAGTTCTGTCGGTCGAGAAATCTGAGTTTGCAAAGGCTAGTGATTCGCCATTGTAGCCATTTTGGTAGAACTAGAAGTCAATGGCTCGTGGGGCAGTGTCCAAAAGAAGTCCAAGTCTTACAGTGCCGTTCAGCTTGTTGATACCAGTGTTCTTCTTGGGCCGGACAGTTTAAGAGGTTGCGTTTGGATACCTCCATTGTTTTGCATGCTTTCCGGTATACCTGCAGTCCTTTGGACAATGACTGCTTCCCTGTGCAGCAAGCCAAAAAAAGAACACCCGAACTCAGGTCTGAGAGAGAGAGAGAGAGAGAGCATGTCCAGTTTTTCCTGTGCTGTGTGTTCTGTTTTTCTTTGGGGTGTCGGGGACAAGATCCCATCTGGATCCTTGGGGCATCCCGAAACCACAAGAAAAGGCACAAGCGTCGCGACATCGAATGAGAAAAGGCGCCGGAAAGCAACAGGAAAGAGGGGGCCATGGGCCAGGATCTTCGGCAATCATTTCCCCGCAGCTCCCCAGTTTTGGGATCACTTCATATTACATACATACATACATATATATATATATATATCGCCTGAAGGAGGCCCTTTTGTGGCTCCCATTTCGACTTTTGCACTAGCGCGATGCCGAAAAGATGGCACATGGTTCAGCGTCACATACGATGAAGCAGCACTTGGTGATCGGCATAGACGTATATCCACGGAAGTTGAGGCTTCATTCATTGGAGGGTGCTGGAGGGGGGGGTGGCATAGAGCAGCTTGTTGAGTCCTTGTGCGGCTTGGCCCACAAACTTGAACCAACCTCACTCCCTGAGTTCCGTTTTGGACTTCAGTCACTTTGTGGGCGACCAGTGTAGGGGTAAGCAAACAAATGAGAGACTTTTTGTTCTGGGCAATCGACTCAAGTGACTTGGCACTTTTAGCGGGGGGCCTGAAAAGGACAGCCCAGGTGAGTTCCCCAAGTTTCATTCCTCAAATGATGTGCACCCATTAAACCCACCCCCACCAACCCACCCCACCTAACCCAACCCCACCCACCCACCCAACCCACCCCACCAACCCCCGACGCCAGGCCTCAGCGGCCTCGCACCTGGGCGCGGCGCTGGTCTCGGACCTCACCAGCGCCCTGGACCTGGACGACGCCACAGCCATCCAGGCGCCAAGAAGAACCCACGGCAGTCGCTGGTCACTGGTGGATCCATGGAACCAAGAAAAGCCATCCCCATTTTTATTTTGCTGGTTTCCGTGGGCAGGATTCAAAGAGTCTAAGAGACGCTATTTCCAAGATGTAGGATATGTGTTTTGTTTCTTTTCTAAGGATGATGTGTGCTCCTTTATTGTTTTTCAGAACCGACCCAAAAAGGGTACCCTCAAAAATGGCACACTCTGTTTCAAGGGCGGAGATGTGATCAAGGTTGCAAGCAAAGTTGAAGGGATCTGAGATGATCTGGTTCATTCCCACGACTCGGGGTCATTTCTCACTAAGCCACCTGCATACAAGCTTTGAGAAGTAAAAGGGAATAGCTGGCCTCAAACTTCCCCTTAAAAAGGGGGAACACCCCCCAAGATCAGGCCATTCACAGGGCACTTCCCATCACTTTGCAACCAAAGCGAATCGCCCCCGTTTCACTTTTTTCTTTCAAGGTTCCCCATGTTTAGGTGATCACATAGGTGTCCTTTCTGGTTGACTTGGTTGAAACATAGAGGGTCCTGGTTTACCTGGTGGTTCAATATGCTACCAGAGAAATCCATCGATTTTCAACCAAAAAGGACACCTACGGGTGATCACCTGTGATCCGTTGAGTAGGGCCACCGAGCTGTGGACCCCACTCGCTGGGAGGCCTCGCTGAAGCGGATGCGGGGCTCCGTGGTGCCGCGCAGCGCGGAAGCGCGGCGGAGGCTCTGCGAGCTCCAGCCGGGGGGCCCAAGGTCTCAACCGGAAGCTCAGGCAGTTAAGGTTCACCCCATATTTATATATATATATAAACTCTAAGCATTGCAGAAGGAACCTCGGCGATGAGTAGGGAGAAAAGGGAAGTATTGAGAACCCTGAAAACTCAGACTCGCTCTTATATGTAGCAACTAACCTGTTTATTCATAGGGTGGTTTTTGGCCCCTCCAAAAATGGTCTGATTCCCCCCCCACATTTCACCCAGGGAACCCTAGCAACCCCTGTTAAATATAATGGGGCTGCTTTTCCCAGACCTTGACTGGAGTTGATGAACATGGGGACAGCATGATCTATTTCTCAGTTCCTCAGTTCCTGGACTTGATCAAACAGCAAGACTCTTTGTTTGGACCATCCACTGAGGAAGTGAGTATTTGTTTGACCAAACGCCCAGCAAACAAAATCAAACGAAAAGCTTACATGCACCTGCCAGTGAGTGCTATTTGGTTGCATCTCGAACCTTACACTTTTCTTTTGGACCAATGAGTGGTTTCCCAAAAAAAAACGCCAAAGAAGCCAGACTTTTTGCGGGGGCACGAGCCACCAAACTGCCTGAGCTCCTGGGAAGGTCATTTTAGTACGCCAAGTTCAGACTTTGGCCAATCCACTGGGAGCACGCGTCCGCCAAACTGCCTGTGCCCTCGAGAAAAAAAATATGAGCTCCAAGGACCTGGGGGTTTCAAGAAACCGGCTTGCTGCAACCTGTTGCGCTGGATCTCTGTGGGGAAAAAGTTGGGTGGTTGCTCTCCCCAGGGGCTTGGCGAGCACGACTTTGGGTTCACCAATCGTAGTCCCTGCCACGGGCCATTGAACCGAGTTCCCTTGCAAACACCAGTCATGCTCCCCGCTTTCTGTAGGGGAAGGGGTGGAGAGACCTTGGTTGAAAATCATGGGGGAAATCTCATGGTTGCTTTCTGCAGGGGGTGGGGGGAGTCCTTTCCACTTCCCTTTGAAAGCTTCCAAAACTTTGGGTGGCGAAAGGGGCAACGGGTTAGGCTCTCAAAATGGATGAAACTGCAAAAAAAAACGGTGGGCTTGGTTTTAGGGTTGGTGTTTGAAGGGGGGGGGATAGGGTTTTTGGGATATTTCACATTTTTCTATCAAACATGACGCTAGGCATGGTGTTTCATGATTAAACTTCGAGGTGTTGTAGGGCGTGAGGTTTGGGGGAGCTCAACCCCTACCCTTTGTCCAAGCCTGGGAGTGTACAAGAAGGTTTTGGAAGACTAGCAAGAATGCTATCTTGCCATGGGATGTGAGGTATGCTTGAAATTGTAAGTCTATGGTCCATGAAGGGACCTGGACTCACATAGTATGCTCAAATTACATCGGCCTTGTCCATGCCTTTCGCTCATTTGCCCCTGATGAAAAAGGTTGGCACGAGCGATTGTGGTGAGGTGGTTCGGCTTTGCAAGGGTCCAATTGTGATCACCTTTCGCAGTCTCATAGCAAGCCCGTCCAAAGTGAACGGCTTCCCCTATTTGAATGCTTAATACATATTTTGTCGGAATAGGTTTGGTCTGGAAGGCCACTTTTCTGAAGCCATTGCTGGATTCCAACGGGAAGGTTCAGCTCTTCGCCCGATAAATAGCGCGCTAGGCTGCTGGCCGCGGTCGCCAGTGGGGACACGAACGAGCTGGCGATGGCGACCCGCGAGGCGCCGAAGATGTGAAGGGCGGTGGCTTCCTCACGATGCCTCCATCGGTGGCATGCTTTTACCCGGGGTCCCATCAAGAATGGGGTCGTGACCTCAAAATCAAGGGGTCGTGACCTCATTTTTTGAGGGTCGTGGAGACCCAGGGGCTCCAGTAGCCGCGTGGTTCGTCATTGTTCAGCTGGGCTGCCAACAAACACGCTATTTGGCTGACATACCAGGGTTGAGGGCTATTTTTTGGCTTTTGCCTGGAGTCTCCATGACCCTTGAAAAATGGGGTCATGCCCCAAAATGAAAGCGGTCGTGACCTCATTTTTGAAGGGCCATGGAGACTCCAGGTAGTCGTGCGGTTCTCTTCATTTGTCAGCTGCTGCAACGAGAAATATGTTTTCTATTTGCTGACCTACCAAGGGTTGGGAAGTGAAGGTAGGCTGAAGAAGTGCAACGGAACAAAAAAGATCATTTGGTTGAGTGGGTCCCGTTTGCCCCATTTTAGTCCGCCAGGCGGATTACTCCTGGGGTAATTATCAAGTGAGGCAGAAATGAGCAGTAAACAAGGCCTCAACCATGCTTAAGTGTAATATGTTTATATCGTTGTTCAATGTTGTTGGGTGTTGTTGGGGCAAACCAGAAGGGAAGCAAGAGAGGGTTGGTTCAGGAAGAGTGGTTGAAACACTTGTGCAGGTTGGGCAAATCAAGGACCTTGACCCGCACATTCGAATCCCTTTGCGGGTTTCTTGGGAAATGTATGGAGGGCGGCCTTCGCACCTTGAAAACGACGCACCCCCTCAGCTCAGGCTGCAACTCCTTGTCACTGTCGCCACGCGGCAAGGTTTTCTCGCCGCGTTTCTGTACACTCGGGGGAAGTCACCTGGAGCTGTCGGAAGGCGGCCGAGTTTCATGAGTTGGGGGCGGGGGATGGGATTCTCGCGCTGTCTCACTGTCTCAGGCCGCGCGTGTGGGCGGGGAGGACGCTGCCCAGTTCGAGGGATACTCCGCAGCGAAGCAGAAGATGTCGACCTTGCAGGCACGTGGAACATCCAGCTCCGAACAAGGGGATTCCATTTGGTGAAGAATTGTTTGTTGTTTCCCCTGTTGGTTTTAAAGGGAATCTATCCTCGAAGTATTTTCCCAGGGGACTTGAAGCAAATGGAGGGGGTTCCAGCACCACGGGGCTGGTGACTTGTCGAAGGGCACTTGTACCATACGGCCCATCTTGCAGCACCCAGCTCTCAGAGTTTTTGGTTCTCGTTGGATCCCCAAGGCTACAGGAAAGGTTGGGTTTCTCTTAACACGAAAGCCACGGATTTAGGGGGTCTGCTATGTAGGGACAAGCCCGTGTAGGTTCAAAACTAATGGCACCATTTTGGGATAGGTGCACCACCCATTCACTGGGGGTACGGGGCTTTAACCCATGGCCATATAGCTATAAACTTGGGGAAGGATGGGCAGGCCTTCTTCTTGCGGCCTTGGCCATTGGCTGAGCTTCAGTGAAGGACATAGAGCTACGTGACATTGGCACCGGCCCTCTCTTCGTGGATCACTGAATAAGAGACACACATTTCACTGTCCTTGGCATGTGCTTTTTGGTTTTGGGTTCGTAGAGCAAAGTTGAAGAATTGCCAGTTGGTGTTCATTTTGGTTCCCAGTCCAAGGCCGCCCGTAATCCCCGGACTCGTTTGCTCGTTTCGCGCAGGCCAAGCGTTTGCAGCAGCAGGCGCTGGAGGTGATCCGAGGCGAGACCAAGGAGCGGGGAAAGGCCGCGCGCTATCAGGCTGCCCTATGGGGTAGACTTAGGATACATGTTTGACCATTTTACCAGTGACTCAAAGTGCAGCAAAGATAATATACATTCTAAATCTGATAGTGTCGCTTTTGGGCCAACTTGAAGTGAGTCTCCTTTTGGTGGGGTGATGCTCAGAGGCCTTAGAACATAATATGTTCTTTGAGGTTGACTAGATATTTGAGTTTAAATTGGGGATCCTTGGGTGGACATGATAATTTGCTGGGGATTCATGCCAGCCACCCACTTGTAAGGTGGTTCGGGACCACTGAACCGCTTACAACTCATAGCCAAGGGACTTAAAAGGGTGGCTTTTCCGTTTCAAGAGCTCGAGTGGTGCGATTTGATTTAGAGGGCGGTGCAGTTTGAAATCGACCAACGCGAAAGTAGTGCGTTGAGTTTTGTCCCAAGTTCTGGCGTCCCTTTAAACCAAGCCAAAAAGGGTAGCCTCATAAAGAGACACATGTGTGAGGCCCCGAAAACAGACATCGTCCGTTCCTGTTTGGGGGCTGTGATCGTTGTGGCTCTTGGAATGTTGTTGGGTTTCTGTCGTGTTGGATTTCCAGGCCTGATGGGCGCTAGACAAGGCACACCCATGGCTCACTTGGAATTGAACTTCAAGAAGGCTTTTGGCCACACTGGGTGGTTTATTTCCTCAGAACATCATACAAGTCAGATTTATTTCTGTTTATCCATTTTTGTCCGGACGCCATGTGTAACACCTACTTGGTACACCCCAACGTGGCAATCTTAACTTTCCACCTTTGAAAACATATTATTGCAGAGTAGTGCTTTGGCACCCTTCAGTCTCCAGGTCCTACCCAAATCCCCCCCTTGTGCACCCCAGCAAAAACAAGTAGACCGTTTATCGAGCTAGTCCATGGGGGGGTGACCAAATACGTTTATGCATGCAAGGGTTGGCACCCCAAAATCAACAGATGCGGGGGTCTCCCCCTCCAACAATCATATTGTAGGGTAGTCTGAATGCGAGCAGAACCAGGGTATATTGAAGCCACGTCCTCCGCGCGGCCCCGGGATTTTTCCCCTTTCAATCACCAGGACCTGGAGTCGCTCATGGCGGTCATCAGTCCGGAACTCGGAGACAGCAAGCCAGAACATGGCCTTGCCTTGCTTCCAGGGTCGCTGGGCAAACTGGCCTTCCTTGTGTTCCACTTTGGCCCAGTTGCCCAGTGGCGCCCTCTTTTTCCTTTTGGTTGGGGAGGGGCTCCCCTTAAAACTCAACCAAGCAAAAAAGGATGCCCCTTTTTGTCCCATGGCCACTGGGAATTTGAGTTTGGGCTCTTAATGCATCGCCGTAGGGCCCAAGTTCCTTGCAGCCTCCAGGTAGATGTTCAAAGAGGGAAGGTCGAGAGCACTCAAGCGACCAGGTCTCCGGTGTGGCCCCTTTCATTTCTGGAAATTGCCCTTTATCCCGGTGCTTCCACCTCGCACTGGTTCTGGTATTTGTGTTGCAGGACATTCTCTGGAGTCCTTGAAGGGTGCCAGGCGCCTAGGCAAAGGATCACATTCAGCAGAGGATCCCAAGGCAGGTGGTTGGATGTATCCTTCTCCCGGGACCCGGCTGTGGATTGGGGTGATTCCGGCCCAATGCATCCACGGTCTGGACCAGAAAGATGAACCATCCCCTTGCGAACTCCCCGAAGATCAATTTTACTTGCCCAAAGCCCACAACCATGTTGAGTGGCCGGTTTCAAAAGCTGATCACCTTGTATTTGTAGGCCCCTTTGCTCAAACTTGAGACTTGAGGATCAACTGAGTTCACCTTTTAAGTTCCCCTCACCACACCTCTTCCCCATTGGGACAGCGGCGGGAATCGTGTCTTGGAGGTGTAGCCCTGGGACGCAGCGACTGGGACCGCGAGTGGGATCAGATCTGGACGGAGGTACTGGAGGAAGGCCCGGCACCGACTCGCCGACGCCGACGCCGGGAGGGGCCGGAAGCCCACCGACGTGTGTGCTGCGATGTTCGAAGGAGAGTGCTTCCATGATGGAAGGAGAGGCGTCCTTACTTGCAAAGAATGGAAGACAAATATGGCACTAAATGAATGATAAACTAGTGAAGTCCTAATTTATGCTTAACCAAACTGACCTGAAAAGGACGCCTATGTGTTGAGTTGATACCAACTTATTGGAGTGGAATTTTGGAGAACCAAAAGGAGACTTAGTGTTGTTGGGGGTCCCCTTTCTTGCGATGCACCCAGTTGTGCTGCCGTAGTCGTGCCATCCAGCCTAGACACATCTAGACACGCTTTTGTGCAACTCCTTTGTGTTCAACGACTTTCTGGGCGTTTGTTTTTGTTCCCCTGCCTGGAAATCCACTGGGGGCTTGGTCGCCATGATGAAAGACCTGTTGGGGTCAGGGGTGGTCATGAACCCTTTGCAGAATTTGGGCAGTGGACCAAACTGAGGACTCCGCTTTTTCCTGTGCGTGAATCCGAGCATACATGGCCAAGGATCTTAGAGAATCACAATGCTACGTCTATATTGTTAATATTCGTTGCTAACTTCCGAGTCCGTTTTTGCTTGGACGGATCCTTTGTCAAAAATGCTCATCGAAGCTAGGGCAGCACGCCGGGATTTCGCAGTAGGTAATATGAGGATCCCCGTGGTTTCGGAGGCTGATATGGAAGTTTGAAGAACTATGAGTATTGGGCTCCCATGATCGAGACTTGATTCGGTTTCTTTGTTGCTCCGAGCCCTAGCAGACGATCAAAACACAAGGAGGTTGAACTTTCAAGTTGCATCTATTTGGGGTCGGTCAACCACCCTTCAAAGCCATCTTGAGAGTCAGAGAAACCCTCGGCGTTGTTTGGCGTTCTGGTGCTTCGCTCTTCCCGGAACCAATTTGGTACCTTGTCATCGGAGCAAGCCTCTGAAGCCGCTAGCCACGAACCACTCAGAATAGAGCTGAGTGGCAACCCAAGTTGTATCATGGCCTGGTGGAAACGGAGGGAGAGTTCACCAGGTCCGACCAAGTTGCGTCAATAGGAGGCATCCGTGGATTTCGGGCCTGCGAATCCTCGGGCGACTTTCGGATGTATCCTGCCGGAGCCATCTCTTTAAGGGTCGCAGTGCTTCTGCCGGGCGCCAGGCCGAGCCAAAGTGAAGCAGATGCTGGAGGTTGCGAAGGCGCCAGGCAGGGGTCAGTACTACAAGGGCCCTGGAAGACAAGTATAGAGTTTCATGGGGTTGTGGAGGCATATTCTTTGAGTTGCACCCTTTTGGCTTCTTGCATCAACTGCCAGTTGACCCTGGTGTTCCTTCTTTGCCCCCCGGCAAATATTGAAACGGTTTTTGTAAAAGTGTGGGGGAATCAACATGGAGAGTGGCTTCAGAGGCCGAAACCAACAAGCACTTTTGTTGCTCCTATTCCGAGGCAGTGAGAACCAACAGAATGTTGTTTTGTTGACCTAAGCACTGATTTTGGGCGGCGTGTGCAATTGGTATTTGCCTATAAAAACCTCGGGTAATTATCACGTCACTTTGTTGGGTTCAAAGGCTTCATGTTTGTGTTGGGTTATGCGGGGGCTGCACAAGCTTTTTAGCTGAGGTACCAGAGGCGTGATTGAAGGAATTGCCTGCTTCACAATGCCATTCATGCATTACGGGGCCATGTTCCCCCCAAGTTGCTCCCCGCAAAACATGGGACCTGAAAGGGCCCAACTGGAAGACAACGAACGTGTAGCAGGGGCTGTCTTTCAGGTTGCTTTGGGGATTCCTTATTTCCTTTTTTGGGCCCGAAATAAAAATGTGTCTTCCATTTTTTTTCAAAGGCACACCTGCAATTCCCCCGCTGTTGGGCAAGGTTGTCACGGCTCAGCTACGGGACAACTGCTTGCATGATCCCAACCCTTGTGAAAAGCATACCACTCTGTGAACTCCCTACTGTGTCCCCAAAAGGCCCCGATGTATAAGGGTGCTAAGTGGTTGGTAGCCCTGGTTTTAGCCCATCTGCCATAGCTGCACGCCCGGGGCCAGCCAAAGTTAGGAACCATTTATAGCTAACTCCCGGACCATCTACCAGCTGTTGGTGCGGATATTCGACTTTGTCTTTAAAGAGGTCCCCCAGTAGGGCCCTTTCCCCTTATTCTAACCTCGCTACTGGACCTCGACATGGTCGTCGAATCCGGGGGTTGGAGGCGACGGGCTGCCCGTGCGCGACCACAAGCTGATCGCCCGCATCGCCGTCCTTGGGCGGAAGCACAACCTCAGCCCTGACCCCAGCCTTGGGACCCCAGAACTCGGCTCCCAATTCGGCTCTCAGCCATCCGAGGCGAAAGCCTTTTTGGCGTTTTAGTGATCAGTGGTTGGATGTCCAGCTAACCCCACTAAAAGTGAAAATTTTCGCGGGGGATCTGAGGACATCCCAGAAAATAGTAGGGAGGGTGGGGGCGGGCAATTTCCCCAGGTGGCTTGGGGATTTGAAACCTCGAAAGGGAACTGAACACTCCTCGCCCCTTCAGGTGGTTAGTTTCTTTGGGTTCCGCCTTAAAACCATACGTGACACACCCATATCATTGCCGGACATAGCGTATGTGTTCAAATGTTTCGCCAGTTGGGTTTTCTTCATGCCCTTTCAAGTTTGGGCCAGATATGTGGGATTAAAGTGGATCAAGCTGTAGGGTGCTGGCCACACAACCCTCAGTACTTTGCATGTTATCGTGGCACTAAATATGGACCAGAATGCATGTGGCAGTGTTGGTCCGGGGCAAAATCTGAGGTAAAGAGTAAGTTCGACCAGGTGTGACTTTTGCTGGAGCCGTGACCACGACCCCGCATGAGGAGTTTTGACCATGGCACATGTGGATGTTGAACATGGCAATGTGGACCAGAGGGCAAGTATATGGGCGTGTCTTGTTTTGGGGGCCCCCCTTTTTGGGTTAGGTACATCAGGAACCAAAAGGACACCAATTTTGGGGTCCCCTAAAACGAGACACGCCCATATCCGTGATGGTTCAGTTGTTGTTTTTTTCCTGGGACCTGGAGAGCTGAGGCGTGGTAACGCGCTTTGCAGTGACCTCCTGGGAGGCAGGGTTAGGGTTGGAAGGTTGCGTCGGTCCCAACTTCCTGGACTGGAGTGGCTTTTGAGACCTGTGGCAGTGGCAACCAAATTAGACTTAGAACAAATCCACTCAGGGGTTGAACACTTGTCGAACAAGGCCTTCACACCTTATCATGGTCCCTTTAAGAAACAGAGTAGGAGCAACAGCTTACCTTTGGGCAGTCCTTTGGCCAAGACACGTGGAGCGTCCCGCTCATTTCCAGGAGAGCGTCGCGGCGGCGGTTGCGGCGCAGCACTTTGCCACTCTGGCGGCCATGGCGAGGCCATCCCCAGGGTGGTCCAAGTAAAGGTTGCCAAGGAAGCCTCAGGAAAGGGGGGGGTTCGCCAAGGAAGCCTAAAAGAATCCTAGGCAACGGGGGGAACGGGGGGGGGGGTTCACTAAGGAACCTCAAAGAACCCCAAGGAACCGGGGGGGGGGGGTTGCCCAGAACCCCAAGGACTCCTCGGGCTCTCAGCTACCCACCCACCTTGTACCGCCCCCCGGATTGGACCGGCGATCAGCCGATAGGCCGATCGGCCCCAGACTTTTCCCAGGGCCCGAGGCTTTGAAGCTTTGTGCTGTGAACAAGATCGTTTGATGGAAAAAGCTGGCCTGACGGAGTTTTGACTATGGGTCTGTCTTTTCTGTTGTCCTTTTGTCTTTTTCTTTTTTTAGTGTTTGTTTTTTTGGGGGGGCCCTTCAAAATGGTGATGTTCCGTTGGTTTCCCCTGAAAACCCACAAAACGAGGGTACCCTCAACAAAAAGGCACACCTGTTCCGTCTTGTGTTACTTATCATTAATGATTATATTGGTTGCTAAAATTCCAACCTGAGAAGCATTCAATTCACAGTAGATTCTATTGATTAATATTTAGGTGTTTCTCTTGTGCTATCCCTTTTTAACATCACCATCTATCTCGCGTCCATTGATAGGTTTTATAGTGTTCCTGTTTGCTTGTCTCTGGGCTGCGAGCATTTTGTTTATCCTTCCTACCAATCCTCGTATCAATGTTTATTGTAAACTAGAACTTGAAGTACCGGGTATCCATGCACCCCATATTCCGCAACTGTCTGATTTATAATTTGAGCGTAAAGGGGGGGAGGGACACCAGCACAACTCCCCACCATGGGATTCCTCTTTGATCCGATGCGTGTGGCTGACACGTCTTTCTCCAGGGACAGTTCCGGATCCCCGGAGTTCGACATAGTGCTGGAGGCCACACAGAAGGAGATGCAAAGGCGCGCGGAGAGCTGTGGCCAAAAGTAAGACTGAGTCCCTGAAAGTGGTTTCCCCGACCTGACCTTGTTCGTTTGTTTTAAGGAGGTTCTTTTCGAAGTGTTAACGGACTAGCTACGAAGAGAGAGAGAATGGACAAAGGGAACACTGACAATAGATTGCCTGTATCTGTGAAACAAGTGCGAAGATATGGCCAACATGCCAACTGTTCGTGGTTTAGCCAGAAGCTCCATTTTTGAGAGTGGTAAAGTGATGCCTGGAAAGGAGCTGACAAATAGGTACAATACTTGAAACGGTAGAACAGTTCTTGGCAAGTTGTTTGTTTGGTTCTGTTCAGTTTGGTAGGGGGCGGGTTTGTTTGCTTTTGTGTCTGGATAATGTTAGACGTCAGCAAAAGTCTGGACTTTTTCTGACCCAATGGGAAACATCACGGGAAAAAGCCAATGGCTTACTGGGGTTTATTGATCAACTTGATCAACTTTAGATTTGAGGAAATCCAGGCAGCCCTGTGCCTTTCTTTTGGGTAACTCCATGCTCTTAAAGGGTCACCTCCCTTTTTTCCCCGCAGGGAACCCCGCTATTTTTCGGTTGCCCCATACCAAGACACACACACACACACACATTCCGTTTTTGGGGTCTGATGGTTGGCTCGGGACCAACAAGTGAGGTTGGTTGACCCAAGAACCCATACCTTTTGATCCTACCCTGAGCTTCTTCCGCTGGACCAAAATCGCGGAGCCTGCGCTCGAGTCGAGCGATCGCCAGGATCGCGAAGCTGTGGGACCGCGAAGGCAAAGATGAGGCGCGGAAGCTGCTGGGCCAGGCCGTGCAGGCGCGAAACAAGGGGAATGGGAAGTGGGTGGCTGGCTGGCTGGCTGGGCTGGGGTGGGGCTGGGTGGGGTGGGCTGGGCTGGGCTGGGCTGGGCTGGGCTGGGCTGGGCTGGGCTGGGCTGGGCTGGGGTGGGGTGGGGGTGGGGGTGGGGTGGGGTGGCTGGGTTCCGTTTCCCATTCGGCAAATATCAGCAGTCCGAACCTGGGGAAGTGAGTATGTCCCTTTTAAGGATCACCCAATCAAAAATCCGCTCATTGGAGAAAATTGCCCGAAAGGAACTAGACCATTTTTTGGGGTTCTATGATTGACGGGTGCTTGAATTCTTCATGGAAGCCTTGTTCGCACTTGTAGCCGTCGTGAGTTTATGTCCATTTCAGTGGTTCAGTGATCCCACTTACAGTGTTGTTACAGTGGTTGCAGGTGTTGCGCGCTTGCCCCTAGCAGGCCTTTGAATTTGGACCTTTCAGTTTTCCTTGGTCCATTCACCTTTGGCCCCAAAAGGTGATCAGCGCGTATTTCTGGGTAGCAACTGGGGCCGGGTTTGGTGGCTCGTAGTCTCGAGCTCGAGCCAGGCCTTTCAGTTGCCAGAGGCCGCGCAGCTCAAGGCGGGGTTCAATGGGTTGACTCTTGCTTCCATTTGCCTAAGAATATTGTTTTGTAGGTGTGTGGATTAGATTCTCTTGGTTTGAAAGAGAAGCTATCGCTGGAAATCGTTGTTTTTCTCCAGGGGGCTTAAGCAAATGGTGGCTTGCTGCAGAAGCAAGCAAGACAAACCGTGGAAACACGCTCAACAACTGAAAGCAACAAGTGTCGATTGCGGGCGCGGGCTACATGCCAAGGGTCACACTCACGTCTGTTCCACGCCCCTTACGGGTTGCAGTGTAAGTGGCTTAGTTTGGTTCAATGGTGCCCCAGAACTCCAGCAACTTGCCTGCGGCAGGCGTGTCAGGAACTCGAAATCCAAGCCGGACAGCACCGAAAGGACAGCACCGAAAGAACACCGACAAGCCAAAATCTGGTGCGTTGGAAGCCTTGCTCAAGACAACTTTTGTCGAACTGACCCGCAGGGACGGTAGCTTTATATGAACGCCGTACTGGCGTACTGGCATATTGGCCTGTCGAAGACTACTTTAAAGCGTGCTCCGGAAGAGTAAGCCTACTATCCTACGGCTTCTATATGCAAGCAAACCGGAAGAATGCTCATTACTAATTACTACATGTGTGTACATCAATTGAACACCCAGTGTATACCTCCCTTCCAATTTGGGTGTGGCTCAAATTTAAACAGGAGGGGCAAACCGCAGGTTTTGGTCCATGTTTCCACTTACTAGGGCAACCCATTTTGGTATTCCGGTTTTTTGAGCCACAGCCAATTTTTACCATGGAACCCCAAAAAAAAGCTGCTCCCCAAAAGGAGCAGCTCGAAATGGCCCTGTGAACCTGCAGGCCGTTCCAAACGGGTTTGGGAAGGCCACTCATATCAGACCTGGCTCTAGAAAGTGTGGTCTGCAACCTGACAGGGGAGATAGGTGTATATATGTTCTTATATATATATATATGCTACCCCCCCCCCCAAATTACCCATGTTTGGGCTTGGTTCAGATGTGCTTTGACCGCGGAAGCAGGCAGGAAGAATAGCTCAGATTTGCACACTCGGAGACCAGAGGAGGTTTGCCTCATTGAAGACAGACGCCTTGGACGTGACCCATGCCCTTTTTCAATGGCTATTCCACACAAAGACTCTTCCACAGAAAATTCGCACATCCTCTCACCCAACACATGTCTTTTTACATGTCTTCTTTCAATGAAACAAAGGCAGCATATGTGAAAGAGTTGCCAAGGAAAGGGAACCCTGTGTAGAATAACGCCAGGCTATGGCTGGGACAGTTTGTGTTACATAAATGGTGGTTTTACATGATATGTTCCTGTTTTTTCTGTACTTTTATGAATCACTGTAACCCTGACTCTTCCACAAAGACCCACATATCATCTCGCACAAAAACATGTCTTTTTCAATAACTCTTCTCTACAGAAAATTCATTCATCCTCTCACCCAGAACATGTCTTTTTTCACAAAGGTTCACATATCCTCTCACCAAAACATGCCATTTTTCAAAGGCTCTTCCACAGCAAATTCACATATCTTCCCACAGAAGTACTTCTTTCCAAGACCCTTCCACAGAATATTCACACGTCATCTCACACAAAGCCTGTCTTTTTAATAACTCTTCTCTACAGAAAATTCATTGATCCTCTCACCCAAAACATGTCTTTTTGCATGCCTTCTTTCACAAGGAATCACATATCCTCTCACCAACCCCATGCCCTTTTTCAATGGCTCTTCCACACAAAATTCAATTCGCATATCCGCCCACACAAACCATGCCTTCTTTCAGAGGCTCTTCCACAGATAATTCACATATCTTCCCACCCCAACCATTCCTTCTTTCAAAGACTCTTCCACAGAAAATTCGCACATCCTCTCACCCAACACATGTCTTTTTACATGTCTTCTTTCAATGAAACAAAGGCAGCATATGTGAAAGAGTTGCCAAGGAAAGGGAACCCTGTGTAGAATAACGCCAGGCTATGGCTGGGACAGTTTGTGTTACATAAATGGTGGTTTTACATGATATGTTCCTGTCTTTTGCTGTACTTTTATGAATCACTGTAACCCTGACTCTTCCACAAAGACCCACATATCATCTCGCACAAAACATGTCTTTTTCAATAACTCTTCTCTACAGAAAATTCATTCATCCTCTCACCCAGAACATGTCTTTTTTCACAAAGGCTCACATATCCTCTCACCAAAACATGCAATTTTTCAAAGGCTCTTGCACAGAAAACCCAGATATCTTCCCACACAAACCATGCCTTCTTTCAAAGCCCCTTCCACAGAATATTCACACGTCATCTCACACAAAGCATATCTTTTCAATAACTCTTCTCTACAGAAAATTCATTGATCCTCTCATCCAAAACATGTCTTTTTGCATGCCTTCTTTCACAAGGAATGACATATCCTCTCACCAACCCCATGCCCTTTTTCAATGGCTCTTCCACACAAAATTCAATTCGCATATCCGCCCACACAAACCATGCCTTCTTTCAGAGGCTCTTCCACAGATAATTCACATATCTTCCCACCCCAACCATTCCTTCTTTCAAAGACTCTTCCACAGATAATTCACACATCCTCTCACCCAACACATGTTTTTTTACATGTCTTCTTTCAATGAAACAAAGGCAGCATATGTGAAAGAGTTGCCAAGGAAAGGGAACCCTGTGTAGAATAAAACCAGGCTATGGCTGGGACAGTTTGTGTTGCATAAATGGTGGTTTTACATGATATTTTCCTGTCTTTTGCTGTACTTTTATGAATCACTGTAACCCTGACTCTTCCACAAAGACTCACATATCATCTCGCACAAAACATGTCTTTTTCAATAACTCTTCTCTACAGAAACTTCACGCACAGAACATGCCTTCTTTCACAAAGGTTCACATATCCTCTCATGCTCCGCAAATGTTGCGCAGCATTTGGAATTTGTTGCGCAACATTTCCAAAAAACAAAAAAAACACCAAAGAATCCCAGCCATGGTGGGGGCTAGGATTGGTTTCTTGGTTTTTTGGTTTTTGGTTTTTTGGTCCACAAAATGGCCTGGCAGAAAATGCATGAGCTCAATCAAAATACACTGTAAATATCAATGGTTTTGATACATGATGCAACGACACCTGGGTACTGGGAAGGGTACCATATATATATATATAAACCTAGGTGTTTTTGTTTTGTGGGGGAAGGGGTACCATATATATATATAGTGGACTTCCTTGTTTTGGATCGAACCTTTAGGAAGATCTGCAGGCGGGACCATCCCCTTTGCGGTTTGTGGACCTGAGGCCAGCGCTGAGCAGTGCTCCCAAGACGCGTCGGCGCGGGAGGCGCAGATTCTCGCGGAGGCCAGGAAGTGCAGATGTCTTTAGCAGGGCTCCTCAAAAGAGAAGCCAACATTGGCTCCTTGCAAGGGCTTAAATGTCTTTAGAAGCCCTCTTCAGGGCTCCTCAATTAGCAGGGCTCTTTGCAACCATTTGAAACATGTTGCTTTTTCAACGCCAAAATAAAGGGAAATAACACCATTTACAAGTTGCAATGTTCAGGTGTATAATGTAAGGATCTCTGTTTAGGGATGTCTTCCCAGGGATGTCTTGCGATGGGGGATGGTACCTTCCCGCGCGGGAGTCCTGCAGGTTGGCACGGAACCCAAAAGGCGAGCATTGGTAGAGGAAACTCTCCCTAGCCCCTTGACTAGAAGTGGGGGAAGGGTGTCATTTTCTGGAATTCCGTTGATTCCATTTTCCTTTTTCATGGGAAGACTAGAGAAAGGAAGTTGGGGACCCCCACCCCCCTCTCCCAGAAGATCCCAGAAGGCAGGGGGGATGGAAACTCCGCTTGAGAAATGGACCCCCCTTTTGGGTTCTGTGTTGTTTGATCCTCCACGAGGCCCGAGCTCGTGAGAATGCAACGACTGCTCAGAATGCTCTCTTTGCACTGGGTTTGCACGCTGGTCCATGGGCCATGGCTCTTGTTAACCGGTTCTTGCAGAGGGTAAATGGGAATGGGGGTAAGTAAAATATGGTTGCTTGATTTGGTTTGGGGTTTTGAACCCCCGCCGGTTTGTGGGTCGATACCATCCCCCTCCAAGCAAGCACTCCAGGCCACACATTCGACGCAAGCTGAGCTTTCCCTAGATGGACCAACAAAGTACGGTCTTTCTACGAAAATCCGCTGGCTGGGCCAGCCTTCGTCATGACAAAAGACTCACCTTTTTCCAGGTCCTTGGATTCGTTGAATGGCTTCTAACCTTCTTGGTTTCCTTTCTGCTTGGGGACCCGAAATGGTGGTAGTGTTCGGATGTCTGTCAAGGCGTCACTTTTCGGGCGACTCCTAAATGTCATCAGCTGCACATGGTCTGTTTGGCGCCAGCGGCTGGAGCCTTGGCCAGGTCGAGAAACAGCTGAGCGCGCGCGGTGAGTCCCTGGAGGAGACTTGGGTGCGACAGGCGCGGGCTTTTTTTTTCCGGAAGTCGGAGCCGGTTCGCACGGAAAGACGAAGAAGCTCTTGTCAACATGTGTGGCGTTGAAAAGCGCGAGAGTGCACTTCGGACCATTTGCATCCTTCCCATTCCCTTGGGGGGGGGGGGTGAAAAGTGCAAGATGGCACTTCGGACGATTTGCGTGTCCTTCCCATTCCCTTGAGGACACCCAAGGCAACCCATGGGAGGCCTGCGGGAAGCTTGGAAAGGAAACAAGACCCGGCGGACACCCATGGAAGCCCAGCGGAAGGAAACATGCGCGTGGGAAGGTGAACCCAAAATCGGGTGAAGGCGTGTGCAGTCCCATTGGTCGAACGCCCAAGCCTGGCTTGGCCCAGGGCCGAATGCTTTTTTCCCGGGTCCCTATGATACAGTTGTGTTTCTTTTTGCCAGGCACACATGGTTTTAGCTTCTACCAGCTGATTTGCAGGATCATCCTTGTCAAAATCATGCTTGGATGATCATCCTTTTGACGCACCTTGATTTCTTGACCCCTTGGACGGTTTAAGCAAGCTGTTTCCCCACCCTGGCGCTGGCTTCCAGGCCCTTTGGGTACAAGTGGGACGATGTTGGCTGCCTGTTGGGAAAAGGTGTGTGTTTAACCAGCAATTCGACACCAAACAGTTGTTCTGTGCAGGGTAGCCACAGCAGTGTTTCTTGGTTTTCGGATTGAATTGGATGCTGGCCTCCCTCTTCAGCTTGCATAATCTTCGCCGAATGGGGTCACCTCTGAATGGTGGAAACTTGGTGAGCGGATGCCTTAACTTAAGCCCCACTAATCCAACCCACGCTGCAGATTAGGTTGGTTTAACCCTCACTTGTTGGGATGTGTTCCCCACAGATCAAACTAGACTTCTTCTTGTTTGCACATGTCATGGCGCTCAGCCGATTTCTACCAGGGTTGCACCGAACCTGACCACCAAGCCACTCTTGGGTCTAGCCTTGTGATGATTGGGCCGACTGGGAGCTTGAGTTGCCAACCAAAAGGGGGCTCCCTTTAGATGCCAACTACCCCCCCTTTCAACAAAAGGCGCTTCTATTTAGAGATCAAGAACCACGCAGAAAAGGGCCCTCGTTAATCTTTTCTCCTGGCCAGCCTTCAAGCAACTTGGGCCCAACTTCCCCATCCTTTAACTCAGTACCGACTCCCTGAGACTTTTTAGGCTTGGACCCTTGGTGGCAAGCGAACAAATTGGACTCGTATCCCCCATCCAGGCAGGAAGTGAGTCAACTGCCGCAAAAAGCGGAGGATCACAACGGGGGGCAAATCACTGCTGAGCCCAGGGACCCAGCCCGGATTCACGGTGGGAAATTGGCAGTAGCTTTCGTGTGGGCCAAGTGGATGGATCCCCTAGATCTAAGTCATATTGGGTATGATCCACGAGGCCTGGACAGATTAAACCAGCTTGGGAATTGGGAGCTTAAGTTTTAAAGTATTCATGAGAATGTCCCACACTTTGGCATCGGGGTGGTCTCCCGTTGGTAGGGGGGGCTTTCAACTAGGGATAGCCTCACTCCCTGAGAGTGACTTCAATTGTTGTGGAAAGACGTGTTCATGTTTGTGCGAAGGCATTTGGTGGCAAACCAACAAGTTCCAGAACCTTTTGTGGTCATTTCACTCAGAAAGTGAGATAAGTGACAGTCTACAAGCCACAGATCTCTGGCCATTTCAGTCGACAAGCCAATTACTCACCCTTTTCTGCCCACTTTTAGACCTTTTGTTTCCCAACCCATTTTGGCAACCCCCCCCCCCCCCCATTTTTCAGTGGGCCCCTCAAAAGAAACAAACAATACACACAAAAAGAAGAAAAATAACAAACAAGCAACCAAAACACGTCAACCTCTTGGGTCCCCCTGAAACGGGGCGGCTGCCGCTGCGCGCCTTGTCGCAGGTGGTCCAGGGCCTGGCCACGTGCCGCGCCTGGCGCTGGCCGGAGGTGCAGGAGGATGCCCGGGAGACGCTGGCCAAGCAGGCGGCGTTTTGGTCGGCGGCCGAAGCGGTGGGGGAGCTGATGTCGACTCCATATGGCTGTGGTTGTCAAAGCCGTTGTGGGATCCCATTTTGGAGGTGCACCACCCATTTTAGAACCTATTTTAGGCGGTGATTGGGATGTTCACTGGGGGTACGGGTTGACCCCATACTGTGGATGGACGAAATCCATTTCGCACAACGAAATGAAACCATGGTTGAAACCAATGTTTGTTGGTATTTACAGGGGAATCATGGTTTCAGGGTTTCTTAGGTGGTGCCACATTTCGTCCATCCACAGTATGACTCAACCAACCAGTTTATTCATGGACGGGTGCTTTTCCCTGGGTGAAATGTGGGGAATCAAACCACTTTTGGAAGGGAACGCCCTATTGATAAACTCGGGTTGATTAATATGGGGTCAAGATTAGACCCCGAAGGAAATGAAGAGATGCCTCTCACTCTTTGGCGGGTTTGCCACTTTTTAGGGCTTCCTTTTTGGTTTCCCTATAAAACCTTTCCAAAAATCGGCGTGCACTCGATAACAGGCACAGCCGTGTCTCTCTGTGAGGAGGCCGCAGCCGTTCGATCTGCGAAAAGTTGCTGCGCAGGTGGAGCAGCATTTGGATGCCATGCTGTGACCTCGATGCAAGTGTCGATGTTCGTTTTGGTGGGGGGACACCAGGGACACCGTCGAGCTCCCTTGGTTGCAGAACGGTCAACCCAGCGTCTGCAACCCTTGAGTTGGAAGGTCAGGGGCCGGTTGCCGGGCTCAAGAAGCTTTCGGGCCAAACTTGTTGTACCCCCTCCCTTGGATCTCGTGTTTGAAAGGCCAGCTTTTGACCACCCCTTCTTGCGAGCCTTTTGCTTGGCCCTGCTTGAGAATGAGGACTCCGCACGTCGGTTGGGGCCAACGGTTAGGGCTTGCGGAGAAGGGCCGAGCACTAGCCAAGGCCTTAAAAGTGTTTTTGTTTTGTACTTTTTGTTGGAGTCACTGCTGGAATGGCTCCAAGAGGCCAGCTGCCTTAAGGCCTTTATACTTGGTGGCTCCCAGCCATCCCTTAGCTTTTTGGCCTTTTAGTGTTTGGTGGTAGTTTCCATTTTATCCACTACAAGGCAAACTTTTAGGGGGGGATCTGAGGGCAGCCCAGTATAGAAGCTTGCGAAAGGAGAAGCTTGTTGGGGGAATTCAATTCGTTTCTACACATGAAAACTCAGAAGAGCTGCTTGGATAGGGTGCGTGGAAAAGGGCGAACCGAATATGATGTACACAAAACGCGTAGATATATATATATATATATATATGTATGTATATATATATACACATATCTCTATTTATATATGTATATACATAGGTTTGCAGACATGTATCCCCAAAAAGGACTAGTTACGCAGCCTCAGGGCTGAGGAGAATAGACATACACAACCACACCCTGATACCCATGCAAGCAGAATCCAGGGGCGGTGAAATAAAACGGGGGTTGCAAGGGTCATCGGGACAACCTCTGGGCTGAGAGTCTATGACTCAGGATCGAAAAGACGATGAAGCCGGATGAGAGCGGAGCTCAAGAGCAAGAGCTCGGTGTGTGTGCAAAGAGAGGAACCCCAAAGAAGGCATCCAAAAAGAACGGGGGGGGTTGGGCCTAGGGCCTAGGGCGTGCGGTCAACGCCAAAATTTTGGGGCTCAAGCAATCCAAGCCTTTGCATCAGTATGAATCTGCATGCAACTTTTGACGTGGGTAAATGCTATGGTGTGTGTGTGTGTTTCTGGGTGTCCACACCAAAAGTTTGGGGCTGAAACACTCCGAGTCTTTGCATCAACATGTCAACTTTTGACGTATTGTGTAAATGTGCTTGTTGATCATTCTTGTTTAGTTGGTTGTGTTGCGTGCCTAAGCGCGTGAATTTATGCCACCCAATTGAGTGGTCTGCGACTAAACACAATTCTGCCGTCCTGAGAATTGTGGATGCGAGGTCCATGCGAGGTCCGGTGTTCTGGGTTCCTCATGCATAGAAACCCAAGGGTAAGAACAAATAGAGAGGTGTCTTTCTTTGGTTCCCTCGCAACTGGTGCCATTTGTTTACCCCTCTTAGGGTCTTTGGACCAAGGGCCGTGCATCACAAAACCCTTCGACCCTTCATAGCCCTGCTGGTAGCACCAACATGTCAACGAGATTTGGGTGCTTGTCGGTATTGCCCCATTGCAAATCCGAGGGATAGTTCAAAGCCATGTTGGTCGCCGCTTTCTGTGAGCCCACTGATTCGCCGCGACATTCACTCGTATTACGCACTCCGGCTGGTGCTCATTTTGGAAAGCAGTGATGTAGGGTCGGATTCAAGATGAGGTGTTTAGAGGAATGTCCTGTTTCGGGGGGACTTCTTGGGTTCCTTCCGACGAAAAAGCAACAAGTACCCCCCCACGGTTCACAGCTCAGGGGGTCGCAGAAGCTGGTGATGGTTCTGGATGTCGCCAAGGAGTTGGAGGTGCAAGCCGGTAACGTTCGAGGGCTGGCTGGAGTTTCCAAGACCCTGAAAAAAGTGGCGTTATGAAGTTATTACCTGAAAGAAATAGGTCATGGCCCCATGTTTAAAGGGTCACACACACACACACTCCAGGTACCTCACTTTGTGGGGGGGGGGCTTTTTCGGTTAGTTTAGAGGGAAGTGAAAAGCAAAGCAGTCATTTTGGGGTTCCCCTGTTTTCACACGCACCCAATTCTCACTTCCCTAGTTCCTGAACTTGAAGAAAACCGAACAATTTGTTTTCGTTCAATCCACTCAGGAAGCAAGAATTCACATGGTCCATCCTCAAAACTCTACGCGAAACGGCCCGTTTCCTTCCGGGCCACGGCAATTTACTCTCCCATCATAAGTTTCATTGTGCCCCACAACTCGATTCTCTATTGCGGCCCTAGCATTTGCTGGGCGGTTTGGTTTTCACAGACCTCCAGTGGTAGTTTAACCTTCATTTGGACTCCGCTTAAATTCAGCCACCGACAGCATGTCCACTACATGTTTCGACGTTTGGACGGCATGTCCTGTTTGGCTGTTGGCTGTTGACATGTCCAACAGCATGGAAGTGCACAGCACCAAGAAAGTGACCTTCCGAACAAGTGTGTGCGCACTCGTCTTTTTGGTGGCATGGTACCCTCCCACCGACGACTCCACGGAAGTGCACCGACGTTTGTAGAAAGACGACCTTCCTCTTGGAAGGGGGCTTTGTGCACTTCCATGTTAGTCGGTCCAGTTTTTTTTTTTTTTTTTTCCAGGGGGGGGGTCAACGTCGGAAAGGCCAATGGAAGAGGTCAAATGGATTCGAACGGGGGGCCCGCATGAAAAGACACGAATTCTGCAGATGAACGGAAGGACACCACGTCCTCGGGTTCCATTTTAATTTGCAGCTGTGTCCCGTTCGTGTAAACGGTTCAAAGAGGTTCCAGCTTGTATCAAATAGCAATGATCATGTGTGTGTGTGTGTAGCATTTGGGGCCTTCTCATTTACATTGAATGGGACGCCTCTCACGGGCTAGGCGAGCAACACGCAAGCAGAACACGTTGTTTAAGGGTTTGATTTGCCACAGCCCAGTTATTCGATAGCACTCTTCCCTTTTTTTTCTAAACGGTTCCCTTCATTTGGCAGGATCACGGGCAACCGGGACACAGAGCCATGCCCGCGTTGCCAGGCGGCAGAGGTGGTGGGAAGCATCATGGAATCCAAACTGCCGCTTGGCAAGGGGCGGGTTGACGTCAATTGTAGGCTTTGGTGCTCCCGCTAGAAAGGCGGCACAAGGCGGCTCCCGGGGTCCAAAAAGGTGCTATGTTTCCCTCCCCCCCCCCCCACGGTACAGGACCTTTGAAAGATGGATTCCGCTGATTTCAGTGTGGCTCTCGCTTAGCAGTGCCGTCCATTTTTTCCCAAACGGACACCTTGGTTTGAGGAAGAAGTGGTGCCCTTGTTTTTGGTAAGCAAGAGGCCCGCCTGCATTGGCAACCAACCAGCCTTACCTAGGCAGGCCGATCAAGTGACAATGCTGGTAGTCTACTGGTTATTTGGAATCGGGACCAACCCAAATTATTTACAACACAATGGGGACCCGAAAAATGATCCCATGTCCTTTTGGCGGGTTCACATGCTTCAAACCATCTGGAAACTCAGCCAGGATGTAAGCCACTTGCTTATACAAGCCTTTCTTCACATGTTGTTCCATGCTGAATGATCTGGACAGGTCCTGAGTGTCACCTTAAAATGCGGCCGGATGGGCCGATCGCCGATAACTCCTCAACTCTTTTTGTTTTACTCCCAACGTGTGGTGTCCTTCTGCCTCTTTGCCCTTGACTAAAATAATGGTGGTAGAAAAGATGCAAAACCTGGGTGTAGGGTTTGCGTTGACCACGGTCGAATGGCGCCTTTGTTCCCTTGGCAGGTTCCCCTTTCAACGTCCCTTGTGCGTGCGACACAGGCCAACTTTTTCTGAGGCCAATTGGGAACTCCGGATGAATTGACCCCCCCATGAATCAATCTGGGGGTGTCCCTGGCTTTAGTGGTTAAACACTTTTGGACTGGACGATCTCCATACTCATACGCAGGGGTTTGTTCGTCTGGCTTGGTCCGTTGGTGGGTGATAGCGGGTGGCTGCCAACAAAACCGTTGTTTTTTTGCCCACGTGCCAAAAGTTGGAAAGCTTCAGACTCAACCAGGGCTTGTCCTTTTCTTTGCGGGGTCCCTCCATGTTTGGTTGTTTTGAAGAACACACACAACCACATTTTTTGGAGGGGTTCCAACCTCAAAAATATCGACACACCCACCAAAAGGAGTGGCGATCCCTTCTTCCAATCGCCGGCCGCAGGCGCACGCGCGTGGAGAGGTTGCGTGACGCGAAAGGCGAGCCCATCGAGCCGGAATCTCGGAGAGTGCGTTCGAAGTGTGGCCCTTGGGAGAGCCAGCTGCCCGGACCCTCCTGCAGATGAAACTCCCTAAGCGAAAAGGGGTACAGAGAACATGTCAACCACACAGGTTGGTCGACTCAAAATAGGTTTCCCCCATGTCCTGTGGGGGGATCCCGGAGTGCATGGGACTTTCACCACTTGATTCAGGGGACCTTAAGCCTTATAAGCTCACCCCCCTTGGAGAAACACAAAGGATGGCAAACCATTTCTCCATAAACCTACTAGTGGTTGTTTTTTGCTATGGATCCGAGTATGGAGCTCATTTGAAGGCCAAACACGTGTCGATCGCTTGGTTTTCTCTTCACCTTTACAGGCTCCACAGGTGTCTATCATTTCCCCTCACTATCCCAACCCCCATGAAACAATGCAAATTATTGGAAGGAACCCAGATTGGCGTCCATGTCCCAAACGGAGTTTCCTCTACAATGGGGTTTTTGCGGTTGCATGTTAAGCTGTAGGGACAACAACTCATTTTTACAGACCATCCAATGGGATTTGGAGAGTTTGTGGGACTTCACTCTCTTCTGAGGGGATTTGCCAAAACTAGTCCAAACAAAAAACATGGTCCAAGATCCACAAAGTGACTAAAGTCCAAGCGGAACTGAGGAAGCAAGCGATTGGGCCTGGTAGGGGTGCAGTTTGAGATATTTCCTCAGTATGGAGCTTCAGTTTCAGCTTCTCCTCCATTACAAGGTAGAAAGCAGCATCCCACCCCCTCGGAATAAATGGAATGAGAGGAGGGGTTTGACCCCTGGAATTCAATTGTTCATTCCAGTTCAGTTCCTTTGCGCAAGGCGCCCAGGGGACCAAGGACCGCCTCATTCTCCAGCTTTCTTAAGGTGGACTGCGTCCAAAGGTTGCTCTTGGACCTTTCTGAGCTCAGAAATGCCGAAAGTCGTTACACGTTTACCTTGGGGATTTCCTGTTCAACCATGCTGAGCAAAGATAAAGCCCAGTTGCTCAAATAATTCCACCATCCTATCCACTTTTTTTGGTACTGCCGGGTTTCTTTTTGCACATCGTCTAGCCAGACAAAGGGCTTCAACTTCTTTCACTTTTTGGGTCACTGGGGGAAGGCTAGGGGCCACTGAAAAAACATGTGCAAACAAACGGACCAAGGCGAAGAACCTTGGAATTCGGAAGGGGCCCGGTCTTGTTCTGGAACGCCTTAGGTTGTCATAAAACCCGAGACGGCGCACATTCGAAGAAGGCAAATGCTTCCTTTTATTTGCGGGGGCTCCCACGCAATGCGCAGAGCTTTTCCTATCACGGGCACCGGGCAACTGTTGGGGGACCCACGGCTTGGCCAAGGCCTGGCCTTGGGGAGCATTGCGCAGGTTTCGTTTTGTGTTGGTTTTTTGCTTCAAGAGATGCTTCTGAGCGGGTTGCACCGATTAGGTCCCATCCCAATATTTTTCGGGGCCCTTCCTCGTACATGTCAAACTGTCGCTGGACTTCTCAGCGCGGCCTCTCACGGAACCTGCAGACAATTCTGCCGGCAAGTCGCAGACCCACCCGGAGGTTTGGGGTAAAAGGCCTCATATATTAATTGGATCGGTGATTAAAAAAATGCTGGCCCTGGTTTAGTTGGATATTGCATGGGTAGTATTTTACATTTTCCAGGGCCAGCGACACCTTCTCGCAGCTGGCGAGACCTCATCCCCTCCCATCCGACGTCAGAGTAAGATGCTGTTTTCGCTCTGAGGTGGCTGAAGCTCGGGCGCCTCTGTGGGCGCCTGGGCTACACGCAGCTCCGGCAGGTGGCCATGGAGGACGCGTTACCCGCGTCCGCGCGTCGCGTAGAAACGCGCGTGGCGAGCTGAGGTTCCTCACTTGGGTTTCTGGTTTCGGTCTTTTGGGGGAGTTGGTACCAAGCCTTTGGATTTTGGTTTAGAAAGGAAGTCAAAAGGAGAATAACAATTTGTGAGGGGTCCCCCCTAGAAGGACAAACCCGCTGTTGAACTGAGGTGGACTTGGGACTTCTTTTGGGGGACGGGTTGGTGGTGCTAAAAAGCTAGGTTTCTTTGCCCATGTTCGGTTTGGACCATGTTAGTGGAACACAGAAGGTCGGACTTTGCTGTTTTCCAATCCGCAGATGAGATTCAGTTGTATAGTTTGTTTTCCGGTTGTACTTAGTGGACGTCCAGTCCCGTTTGAGCTTAGGTCTTGCCGGACCCCGTGTTAAGCAAGACTTATCAAAGGCAAGGGTTCAATCTGATAGACACCTCCCCATTAATCAACCAGGGGTTCATTCCTGGCTTCCCATGTCAGGTTTGAACTTGGAACTTGCCACAAAAAAAGCTGCCAAGCTGGTAGTCCATTCAGTTCCCCCTGCACCTGCTTGGCGCCCTTACAAGATCACATGCAGCCGAATTCATGGGGCTCATGGGTTTTGCCTTCGGAGAGCACTTTTCACTCGCGAACCTCTCTGTTGCCCTTTGGCTCTTTTGGGTTTCTGTCCCAGCAATCAACCGAGTGCAGGTCTGAGTGTATGACGCCAGGTCTCAAGGACAAGCTCTGCCCTAATGCAGCTTTGCCAAGTTGCACTAAGCTTGTGCCTCAAGCAGCTTGTCCCGAACGTATACACACACACATATATATATATATATTATGTCAATGCTTAGTTTGACTTTGGCAAATGACAGGATGGAACCCCCGCCAACTCAACGTCTAGAGGACTTCCCAGTCCCTTTTCAATGCTATGGAGCCGTCTGGTTGCCTTGGGATGTCCAAAATGTCCGGAGCTTGCGCAGACGGCCATGCTGCAGGGAAAACACCCAGGTGAGGAGTGCGGAGTCGTCATCCAAAGCTCCTTTTGTCAAACGCCCAGGTGTTGTGCCCCGACTGCCAGGGTGCAAGACACTGCCCCCCCTCCCCCCTGCCCCCCCTCTATCCCATGATTTGAGTGACGCCAGGGGCTGACTCAAAGCCTGGAGCAGCTGAAGGTGGACTCGGAGGAGGCCTTGCTGCGAGCCTTCCAGGCCGGTGGTTTTCGAGACGGATGCCACGAGCTCGACAAAACACGAGCCAAGAAACTTGGGCCTAGGGGGTTACCGTGGAGGCGTCGTTTTCCGTTTTTCCCAGTTGAGTGCCCCCCCCATTGTTTTGCCCGTGAATGTCGTTTGGTGGTTTCACCTTCATGGAGTCAAATGACAAAACAAAGCGTCATTTTTGCAATCAGTGGGCAAGTGGGTAAAGGTGTTTCTCAAAGCATGGCTGTCTCTCAAGGGTGCCCTTGTGGGAGTTAGTGGGAACTGGGGTTTGGCTCTCCACTCCACCGGCGCCATGCAAAGCGGCCGTTACTGGCTGGCTTTGGCTCAACAGCACGCTCTCGGAGCCGAGCGACCCGCAGAGCCACCAAGCCAAAGCGACGAATCCGCGCGGCAAAAACCGACGAAACCGCACCCCCAGTTGCCCAGTATTTCGTGGTGCCCGTTTTCCTTCCTTTTCTTGGGGGGGAAGGCTTCCCTGTAAACTCAACCAGCCAAACAAGGATGCCCTTTTTTCCCCTGGCCGCTGGGCATTTGAGCACGCATTTGCATGTTGTAGTATCTTCCTAAGCCTCAAGGAAACGATCCCACCTGCCTGATGAGCTTGTTTCACCTCCAGGCGGTGGTAGAAGACAGCCCTTTCTGTAGAAAGTGTTCATGCCCATGCCTGCTTCATCACTTAGGGGGGTTGTAGCGCCATTCACAGAAACTGGCGGCGCCATGAACCAACCCCTTCCCAGTCCCCCAACAATCCTCCATCTAAGAAACGAGCCAAAAAGGGGACCTCTACAGTTGAACCCTGTGGCATTTGGAACTCCAGTTTCCCGTCGAAATTCCTGCTGGCCTGATACATGTTTGAAACTACCCCTTCATGTTCAGCTTTTGGATCCAACCTCTCCCAAAATAAAGCTCAATGAGAACAGAAATCTCATGTTGGACCAAAAGGGGAAAAGCTTGATTGATTTTGATTTTCAGTACGAATACAAACTGTGAAAACATCGCCTATCGATCCTTTAGGTCTGAGAAATATTCAGCTAGAGGTGTCAGAAAAGCTACCACAGGGATACCTGGCTTGTGGCAGCCACGCGTTCATAGCGACGTTGCTTTTTGATCCTTCGATGTCGGCTCTTCCTATCATTGAGACGCAGAAGTCCCAAAGTGTCGGATTGTTCACCCGCCAATAGGGAACGTGAGCTGGGTTTAGACCGTCGTGAGACAGGTTAGTTTTACCCCCACCCAACACAGGACTTAGTTGTCCCAAAATCGCGTTTCCTCGTGGCCTTCCTCTTCCAACATCCCCCCACCTCACCCGAAAAAATCGTCGGTCTCTCCCCCCCCCCCACCGGTCGCCTCGTGTCGCCTCGCCTCCGCCGTGTCGGCCTCGGACGCGCCGCGAGCCGCGCGCCGCGCGCCGCCAGGAGGAGGCCCAGCAGCTGGGCGAGGCTGAGGCGGCGTCAGCGGCCACCTCTAGCCTCGCGGAGATCTCCGAGCGCCGGGGCCCGAGACGGCGGCAGTCCGACATGAGAACTTTTTGCCAACGAATTTGGGTTTTCCGTATTAAACCACTAAAAGTTATTCACTTTTAGCCGGGGAGCAGAAAGCAAACGAGCTTTGGTCACCTATAAGGAAACCATCAGTTGGATGGATAGTCTTTGGCCCCTGCCCCCACTACCAATCAATGAATTTGTGCCCCTTCCCCTACCATGCTGGGGATGTTGAGAATCATTGTTGCTGTTGTGGTTTAGTTGTAGATCCCCACTTAACTTCTACAGTTTCAATGTTTGCTCGCTTCCAACGTCAACCAAGTACAAGGAAACCAGCAGTTGGATGGTTTAGAAGGGTCATTCCCACATTCCCTGCTGGGCACCGGCAAGTTATGGAACAAGCCAAGCCATCTAGGGGAAATGGAAGACCAAGCCAACCCACCAAACCACCAAACCACTTGGGGGAAATGGAAGGGAAACCCATGGAACAAACGAACACCAGCAAACTCAACTATTTTTGTTTGGGTGCCGAGCCAAAAAGCGAAATCAAGTGCAAAGGGAGCTGGTTCGAGCTTTGTCCACTCCTTTAAACACCTAAAATTTGTATTTGTCACGTTCCCTTGTATGAGGACCGGATGGAACTGCACCCCATGGTCGTCCTTGGTCACTCTGGTGGCATGGACCCCACTTTTCATGAGTGGACCCGCTGGCAGAAGCGATTTGGCACGCCTTGGACCATCCCATGACAACCTGACAAAGGATCAGTTGGGTACTTGGGACTTCTTGGAATTGTCTTCAGGTTGTTGCTCAGCTGGTGAGTAGAATTTCTGGATTTCAAGCCTTGGTTCTTGTTTCGGTCAAATGGGGAACCCCGACCTCCAGACCAAGGATGACCACCAAACTCACGAGCTGATGTCGAATGTTCCGCTTCGGTTTAGTTCCCTGCATCAGGGTTAGACGAAACCTGGGCCGGAATTGGGAAGTTCCTGTTTGTTTGGTGTATCCCATGGGCCAAGTTGCCTGTTTTGTCTCAACTTCTTTGGACTTGAGAAGTTCACTTCGCTTTGTTCCCTCACGTGGCTTCGTGGGATCTCTGGACCCAGCCCCTTGCAATCCCTTTTCCAAGAAGGTTATCCAGCACCAGTACAGTCGCCCAAATACCAGCTGATCTGGAGGTTTCCCTTGTAAAGAAGGCGGCTTTCGGAGGTATCCTTTATAAATTCTGTGAAGGCGTCATTCGGAGGGAACGCGACGGGATTACCCTACAAAGAAATGGACCTAGCTGTGCTGTGGGCTGTCCGGGGTTGGCTCAAGCTAAGCCTCACGGCTATGAGTCGGCAACACCGGGGCTCGCAACAGGGACTCAGGATTAGTCCTTGCTACATAGCACAAACTGCTTCCCGAACTAGCACCCAGATAAAGCAGAACACTAATCGATTGAAGAGTGTGCAAAAGCAACATGCAGGAAAGCCAGAACACCCACTTTGGGGTTACCCCAAAGCAAGTCCGCCCATTTGATTGACTAGGGCTACACCGTTCTTGACTAGGACTACTCCCCTCGCTGGCAACCCTCCATAAATCTGGGCAGATACAGAGCGATTCCGTCTCTTCGGGAGTGAAACGAGCACAAGCCAAAATCATATTTGGTCGGTGCCATGGTGCGGAAAAAGCGTGATGGCAAAGCGGCGGGGAAGTCAGGCAGGGGCTGAATGGAAGAAACCTGCTGGCCTTGGCTCCTTCAATGGGACGCGTTGATGAAACAACGTGGGAGTTTTCTAAAATAGAAGGTCATCAGCTGAAACCCGATAGCAGTTTTGTTGACGACCCTGTCCCCCTTGCCAACCCAAATGTGTCCAACACTTTGTGTCTATCATATCCAAAGGGCTTGGGACATTTTAGGGCGATTGCCTTTGGTTTGCCATGACTAGAAGAAAGCTTGAGTGAACAACAGTGATTAACTAGCTTGTTTTTGAAACATGGCCAACGCCAACCCAGCAGAGGACTCTCCTTTTGTGATCGAACCCAGTTTTCTGGGTGGACGCTCTCACGGAAACAAGTCCCTTTGCAGGTACAAGCGACATTTGGTTGCGAAATGTGGTGAGGGCGGCACGCTTTTCAGGACAATCTTTGCCCATATCATCAGCGTCCTTGAGCACCAGCGTGTTTCTTTAAGGGAAGTTTCAGTTATATGTTTGAGTCCTCCCCGTGCCAAGTTTCGACAAGTCAACATGGTCATCGGTCAGCCTCGAGCCGTTGGAGTAAGGCAGGGCTTTCCATTCAGACCGAATCCTTGTTGAACCCCGTTGTTGGGATGTCTTTGGTTGAACGCACCGGTGAAGGGGAAAACTGGAAAGCCAAAGGGAACCTACTCATTGGGGGGGGCTCCCTTAATTATTTTTTACACAAATGCTATCAGGAGTGACTTGTTTGAGGGTGGGGGGCCATTTTGTGTGGTTTTAGGGGGAACCCAAAGATACCTGCCCCCTGGTTTCCAACCCACTTTATAAGGGGTATATGAGAGGTCTGAGCATCAACATGCCTTTTGAGTTCATTTGCGCAAGGGGTATATAAAAGGTGTATGTACAAACACCAGCTAGCACCGGGAGGCTTTGGGGGGCTGCGTCAGCTGCTGAGCTTTGCACCCCGGCTGTGGCTGGCCTGCGCTGTGGTTTTGGCGCTTGCGGTGTCGACGAGCAAAGCGCCCTCCACGCAACTCGATGAGCAAGCTGCATAAAGTCGGACAACGGGTTCTAGCTGTTACTAGCTGTACCCTGCCCATTCTCAGGGATCCTTCTCAAAACATGGGCTAGAGCCTTAAAAAGGGTTTTATAAAGAGAATGCGTGAAGAGAATGGGGAATGAGGGGTAGCCTCAGCAAAACCAGCTTTCAAGAAAGGGGGGGCACGCCTTGCTGCTGTCAGAAAACTGCAGTTTCAAGAACCCCAGACCTTGAGCGGACTTGCTTCGGATTCCTTGTGAACCGACTGGATACCAACATGGAGCTCTTTTTCCCATCACTGGAGGTCTGGGTCATCCGTCAACAAAACAGGCTTCCGGAGGAAAAGCAGCAGCAACAAACGTGGGGTTCCCTGAAAAGGGGCACAGAAACATCGGACAACTGCAGACCTCCGAACACAAGGTGTGGAAATCGCCTGGCTAAACCGTGCTTTTCTCAAAGGAGGGGGATGGCTCACCCTTTAAGGTGGTTTCTGCTATGTCCTGTTTGGGATTTGATGTTGGGTGTTCTTGACTGGGACCAACCTTGTATCAGAACCAGCCAAGGGCACGATGTGGAGGAAGTGCGCTCAATCCTTGCCATGTGCTTTCGCGAGGATTCTCATTCCATTTTTTTGTGGCCAAGCGGGGCTATCGATCGGGGTTCCCGCTACTTGATCCCATGAGATCCGTGTGCGAAATGACCGCACAACTTGGTGTTCCTATGGGCCCAAAGGGAAGCCGGAACCTTGCTGGTTCCCAGTGCCCTGATGGGCAGGGACCAGGGACCTTAAGGTTATCTTCGTTCAGGCCTCACGGGGAAAACCGAAACCGGTGTAAAAGGGGAATGCGGGGAGGAGGGTTGGATCCTACACGTTTTTGGCATGCTTTTCCGCTGGCCATGAACCAACGGCGTTATTCCTGGTTTCTTGCCTTTTTTTCCCAAGGGTCGGCGGAAACCACCCTGGAACACCTCCAAACAACCAATCCAGCCACCAAGTCCTGGGAAGCTGTTTTGGGGTGTTCCCTTTTTCTATTCTGGAATCCTTAAAGGGGCCCAGCCTCAGGCTCCCTGCGAAACCCCAGAGAGCCCCAAGCAACCCTAGAAAACCCTAAGACATCCTAGGGCTCTCAACCACCACCCGTTCTTCTACCTTAGGGATGGGTCGCATCCGTCGGCGCCAGGGACTATCTGCAGCCGCTGCGTCGCCAGGGCTGCCTCTTTCACTTCGCGCCGGCCAGCGCGCGACTGCTGCCGCGCCTGTGGTCAGCGTTCACAGGGGACCGCTTGACGGGAAACGGGGAACGGGCGATGGGCGGCAGGGAAAAAGATGTAGCCTCTGGCGAGCGTATCCACCGGCAACGGGGTGCAAAACGAGCTTGCCATTGGTTCTTTGCTTGGGGGAGCCAATTCTGATTTGAGCCAAAAAATTGGCCACAGTCATTTTCTTGCAGAAACATGCAGATGTGAGTGAGTGAGTGAGTGAGTGAGTGAGTGAGTGAGTGAGTGAGTGAGTGAGTGAGTGAGTGAGTGAGTGACTGAGTGAGTGAGTGTGTGTGTGTGTGTGTGTGTGTGTGTGTGTGTGTGTGTGTGTGTGTGTGTGTGTGTGTGTGTGTGTGTGCGTGTGTGCGTGTGTGCGTGTGTGCGTGTGTGCGTGTGTGCGTGTGTGCGTGTGTGTGTGCGCGTGTGCGTGTGTGCGTGTGTGCGTGTGTGCGTGTGTGCGTGTGTGCGTGTGTGCGTGTGTGCGTGTGTGCGTGTGCGTGTGCGTGTGTGCGTGTGTGCGTGCGTGCGTGTGCGTGTGCGTGTGCGTGTGCGTGTGCGTGTGCGTTGTGTTCAAGGATGCCAGGTGGGGTGTCCCTCATTTGGAGCAAATCCAAATGTCAGGAACTCTAGATGGTTCGGGAGGAAGTGTTTGCTTGGACTGGGAACCCCCAAGTAATCACAGAACGTGTACCTGGCTGCTTTAGTAGGAAGGTTTTACAGGCTTAAGTCTCAAAACAATCACCAAACCAAAAGTAGACAATTGGGATTGGGCTCTTTCGTCCTTATTTGCATGCCAATGGGATCAACAAGCCAAAAAGGGTTCCTTCTACTACATTTCAGGCTGGGCAAACGACGTCTTAAAAACTGGTTTGGTCAGGTCTTGGTAGCACTTTGCAAACATGGAGAAAAGCTGAGTTGTTCAGCAAACGTTAGCTCTCATGGCGCACTGACCCGTGCCTACCAGAACAAACGGCCTCTCCGCTGTTTTTTTTTTGTTTTAATAAAACATAATTAAAGCAACATATTACTTGTCTATGTTTGATAGACGGCCTCTCCGCTTTGTTTTTTTGCACCAAAGGACAAGACCAAGTTGACGACTCTGGGGAACCATGCTAAATACCTGGCAGACTTTTAGGCCTAAGAACTGCGCTCCGGCAAGGAGCGGGGGGACTATGCGGTGACCACCTTCAGAGCTCCTTGGTATTTGTGTTTGAACCGCTGAGGTCATGTCACCCCAATGCCCGAAGGACCTGTCATGTGCCCTTTTGACAAAAAACCAGCAGCCAAAAGAGGGGGCTGTGTGTTATTTTCTACCCAAGGTGTTAGCCCAACTTGTCAAAGGGCTCGCTTCTTAGCTTCTTACAAAATGGCGTTGAACACACACAGCAAGATGTTGCGCGTGCCTGCGACATTCGCTGGCAAAATGCGGGTCGCACCGGACTTGCAGCTGGCTGGAACACTGTGTGACATTTCAGTGTTGCCAGCCACCGTGTTCACCGTGCTATGCTTCAATCCAGGCAACTTGAGTCGGAAGCTACACAAAGACATCGTGCGACCGTCATGCACGGCCCAGTGATTTCAATGTCTTGAGTCTGGAGCAGGCTTTCGTTGCCCATGAAATCACGGGGATCTCAAATTCATCTTGCATCCGGAGCATTTGTTCAGCAGGCTTTGGGAAGTCTTTGTGCTGACGTTTCCATCAGAGGGGCCAGGTCTCAATCGAAGCTTATGGACCTTACGGGGTTGTTGGGAAGGGCCGGGAAGGGGTTTGTAGGCCGTGATGGAATTGAAGGAACCCATATGCCCATGGCGAGCTTTCTGGCAAAGCAAGCTCATGATGGGATCCAATGCGTGCTTCATGTTGTTGGAAAAATCGTGGAGTTTGCAGATGTTGGGAGGCAACGAAAGACCCTCTCGTTGTTTTTGTGTTTTTTAATTTGCCGGGAAATATCATGAGGCTTAACTTACAGATGTGCAGAATAGCCTCTTGAATGGTTGGTGGGCATAAATCCCCGTGCGAATGATCCCTCGCAAATAGAAGTGATACCACTCCCGTGCGAATGATGTCCCTACAGTGATACCCAGGTCAAGGAGAAGGGGCCGCTGTCCTTCGTGCCCAACACGTTGATGCTCAGCAAGCCTACGCCTGAGATGGAGGAGCCGCAGCTTTATGGAGTTGGTTTTGGGCGTGTATCCTTTCTGAGTGCTAACTGGCAACCAAGAAATGCTTATGTAATACTTGGTGGTTCCCAGCCATCCGGTTCCTTGGCTTTTTAGCGTTTCAGGGTCTAGTGGGGGGGGTCCATTTAACCCACTAAAAGTAAAACTTTTAGCCAGACAACAGGAAGCCAAGAGGGGATGGATCATTTCCGTTTTATCCAGAACCCCGTTTTCAGCATCTATCCTCAATTCGCGGGAATGGTGGGGTTTGCTCGTTGACGCGCTCTCTCGTCCTGAAATCCGGGCTCCCCCTTAACATTTAGGAGGCAACAGATGAGAAAGACGTGCGAACATGTTCAGGGTTTCTCAAAATTGCCTGTTTGTTCATGTTTGCCTTTTAAGCCTGCTTAGCGGGTAGTTGTTTTGCGGATGCCACAGACTGTGAACGGAGCATTGACGGTTCAATTTTGGAGCCGAAGCAAGTGTTTTGGCCTGTTTTGGTGGGTATTTGACTCTGATTTCACGCCTGTGAACCACTCCGAGGAGCAATTAGACTCCTTGAGTGCCTCTGAGCGGAGCTTTCTGGACAGGCCTGCGGGCCTTGTGGTGGTTTTGGGGTCCAGTTCAGTGGGGCTCACCAACTTGTTCTTGTTTAGCGGGTTCCCCGTTGAACACGGCGAAAAAGCGGTGCGTTGTTTGATTTTTCTTCCAGGGGCCCTGGGCTCGGATTTGTCAGCCTTGAGAGAAGGGGTCCGTTTGCTGGACTGCCCCGAATTGTCCGAATTTCGGTACGTGGGCTGTGAACATTAGGATTTTCCTTGGAAGGCTACCTCGCTCTCCCTTCAAACAGTTGCTTCCCTTCCCCAAGGCTTTGCGCTTGGATCTGGAACGCTTCAGCCTGTCGCAGACTTGTTTTGATCATTGTACTTCTTGGGAAGTCCATTTTCATTTTCTCCATACTTCAAGTTCTCACGAGTTTTGGCCAATCCACTCAGGAAGTGAGTGGTGAGAAGCGCATCCACCCTGCGTAATTCAGCAGGCCAAAGTTTTTGTTGGAGGGGATGAATGAAGTGGTTGTGGTTGGGGCCTCGTAAAACAGTTCTAGGAGAATTAGCCTTGACTTTAGCCCTGCCCGGAATCCACAAAGGTTTGTTCCCTGTAGTTTGCCATTAACTGCCAGTGACCACATAGCAATCCCCTGCGCGGATCGGGTGTTTCAGCGCATAGAATTCAGGGACCTTGTGCTTACCCCCCCCGACCCCACCCCACCCTCAGATTGACGATCGGAGGGGTAAACAACTGCTGAAGGGTTTCCTTTGGTTTCCTGCGCCCAGGGACCCAACGAAAGTGTGTTGCCAGCAGACTTTGTTGGGTTTTGGGCTTTTGCCAGCCCCCCCCCCCAAGCCCTACACCCTAAACCCTTTAATAGAAACCCTCCATTCAAACCATCCCTCCACTAACCCTAACCCTGAACTGAACCCTTGCCAGCGATCGGTGAGGGATTAAACTTCTCAGTTGTTCAGTGGCACCCTTTGTCCCTTTTTGTTCTGGTGGCTGCTCAAAAATGGTCTTCCCCAAAAAGGGTTCCCTTGTTTTCCAGGGTCACTGAACAACCAAGACTTTGGCAGGCACCCCGGCCTGGCGACTGCTTTGGGCGCTCTGCTGCTGCGCCGATCCGCATCGAATGCCAGCAGCACGGCGAACAAAAGAAGGGCTGAAGAACTAGACGCTTGATTTTCCTGGGCGGTTCCCAGCCGTTTGGTTCTTTCCGTTTTTAGATTCTGAAGAATTTGATCGGTCAGTTTGGGGTTTTACATCCGTTGCATCCGCAGTGTGGCTGTTCAAGCGTGAAAATGTGCGAGCAGCGCACTTGGACGGTTTGTTGTTTCCTTTTTGGGCCCCAAACCGGTAACCCTTGAATCTATAGGTTATCAGCCGTAGGCCCCTAGCTCTAAGCAATGGACGGTTCCCTTGTGCCAGTTGATGGATCCAGCATGCCTGTGGATGCTGCCGGAGCTAGCTCCGGCAACGCCACCGGCGGCGGTGTGCGAATGTTCGCATCAAGCGCTAATGCGCAATACAACCGCACCCTGATGAATTCCCTTCAACTGTACAATACCGCAATCTTTGCTTTTGGGAATGATGCAGCCATTAGGTCTGAAGCCGAAGCCCTGCATCAAGCAGCTGTAACGCATTTGCAAGCGGAAAACCGTGAGGAGCTCCGTGCCGCACAGAATCAGCTGCATGCACACTACGCTGAATGTGTGCAAGCCCAGTCGCATAGGATTCGTGAATACGAACAGCGAGTGAGCGATGAGTTCATGCAAGAAGTGAACTTCGCTGAAGCTAGGATAAGCCAAGTGTGTGAGGAAAATGCCCAAGCATTGCATGAAGCGGAAATGGGACGCAAAACAACTGAGTTTAGGCAAGCCATCGAATCCACCCTGGCTGAAGCCCAGCAGCTCCTCCATGAGCAAGCTGCCAAGCATGCCGATGACACAGCCCGTGTCGAGGCTACACACGCCAGAACGGTTGACATGATGGCACACCAAAACGGGCTTCTGCAGGACGAGCTTGATGAGCTGAAGAAGTATCAGAAGCAACACGACCTCCGCGAGGATGGATCGAAGCCCAAAGGGGTAGGTGATACCCGAGAGGATTCACCAGAGTTGATGACCGACGACATGAAGTCAGCTCGGTCCCAAAGGTCAATGTTGGACCCGTTGACCCATCCGTTTCAATATGCAAAGGAAAAGTTGAGGTCGCTTGTTACCTATGACGGTTACGGGGATGAATATACCCCTAGCGTGATTCCAACTGCCGAATGCGAAGCACTGCCCGCAGATGCTCGCGATCCGCAAGGACCAGCTGAAAAGCCATCAGGTAGCAGCCGATCCCCGGTGAAAACAAGTGCACCGGTCCCACCCCTGCAATTCTCTCAGGGGCCAATGTCAACTGACCGCAAGCAGGGTGGTAAGCCTCCCGGCGGTCCGCCACCTGATGATGATGGCGATGGCGATGGTGATGAAGACGAAGGTGATGGCCTTGGGCCTAACCTCGGCCAAGAAGCATTCGCCAAAATGTTGATGAAGTTAGTAAAAGGCCACACGAACGATGAAAAGCCCAGAACCCGCGAAAGCGAGACGTTGCGATTCAAGGAGATGCCAACTCCTGAAACGTACCGTGAATGGAAAACATCGGTTCGTGAGGATGTCCGCGCCGCATCTGACCGTCCAGACGAGGCTTGGCCTTGGATCATGGAAGTCTGGTCTGATCGCGAGGACAAGAAGAAGCTGTTGGAGGAGCTCGGCGAACCGGGAAAATTCGTGACCCTAGACACGAAGATTCTCGCAGCGCTCACGCGTTCAGCGAAAGGCGATCTGGCTCAGCGAATCCTAACAGCAAAGGAAGAATGTGCCAAGGAGGGAAAGGCCATGAGAGGAAGGCAGGTCTTGTTTATGTTTGACCAATATTTCAAGACCAGTGAAGAAGCCGGAAACCTCTACTCCTTGGAGGACCTGTTGCGTGTCTCGCGACACGGCGAAGGAATCATCGATCTCAAGCGTTTCCTGAATGCTTGGGATTCCGTGATCGCCGGCATGAAAAGGCCGCCGGAAGAAAAGGTGTTGAAAGACATCTTGCTTCGCCAAGTGAGAAGCTGCCATCTGTTGCGGTACGACATCGACACATATGATCGTTGCCGTGACGATGATCCCAATAAATCGTACGATTTCCTAATGCGTTGCATGAGGGATCTAATCGAGAGGGATAGGCTCCGCGAGAACCGAGAGCGCGTGTCCAAGGTCAATGCCAGTAAAGCCCCGACGCCCAAGGCTGGTGCTGCCGCTCCTGAAAAGAGGGACCCCAAGAAAAAGAGCGCACCTAAGCCGAAGGACACCGAGGAGAAGTACTGTTTTGACTTCCAGAAGGGCTCGTGCACGAGGGGGGCAAACTGCCCTTACGCGCACCGCAAGGAGCCGCGAGGACGCTCCGCGACCCGCGGCAGGCCAAGTTCCCCCAAAGGCGGTAAAGGAGAGAAAGCACCGTGTTCTTTCTTTGCCCAAGGGAAGTGCACGAGAGGTGATAAATGCAAGTTTAGCCATGCCTCCACGGGCGGCAAATCTGCCGCCGCGGCATCGAGCAGCGAGGCCAATGCAAATCCTGCGGCTAAGAAGCGTGCAAATTCACCTAAGCCTAAGCCCAAGGCCAAAGCCGCTGCAGTCTGCACCAGGTACGCCATGTTCGCAAAGCCGATCAACCCAATTGGAGTGTCATTCGACACCAATGCTCATGTTCATGAAATCCCCGCCGAAGGCGATGGTTTCAAGCTTGAGTATGAGGAACGTCAGTACAATAGGATGTTTCCAAGTGCCAAGGACTGCCCCAGGCCGACCAAAGGGACTAACAAGGCAGCGCGCAAGGCCGCGAATCAGTTGAATGCCGTAGTCAAAGCCATGGAGAATGGAGCCCAGCCCGCTTGCGGTTTCATGTGCGATGTGGAATCTGATTCCATCTCAAGCCTATCGTGTGATGAGTGCCTGAGAGTTGCCATGCCGCCTCACGATGTTCGCAAGGATGTCGAAGCGCCAAGGGCAGCCACCCCTGCCCCAAAGGGAAAGGATGTGTGGCTCATTGATTCCGGTAGTGAGCAGGACCTCATCAGCAAGGCTGCACTGAGGAATGCGTCCAAGGCAATCCGAAAACAGGCCCCGCAGCCTATTCGCCTTGTGACTGCAAACGGAAACATCACTGCTTCCGAGATCGCCGACATCAATGTCGATGCATTGTGCGAGCCTGCTCAGCCTTACATCCTCGAGAGTTCTCCCGCAGTGCTGTCGCTGGGTGTGAAGTGTCTGGATCAAGGATATTCCTTTCATTGGGAATCCGGGAAGGCACCAACCATGGTTCGCCCTGACGGTGCTCTGATCCAGCTCAAGGTTGACGGTCATGTGCCATACATGGACTCTAGTTGTGAAGCTGAGCCATCGTTGAGTGCAGTAGCAGCATCAAAGCCAGCGCCTGCGCCAGTTCATGACGAAGGCATCGACGAAGGTGATGATCCCGACGACGAAGTTGAGCGGTTTGTGAGATCCCGCAAAGAGCAAGATCTGGTTGCCGAAGCAGGTACCAAAGAGCACTTGTTTGCACACTATCCGAAGAATCCCTTTTGCCGCACTTGCCAACGTGCCAAGATGCTTGCCCCATATGCAAGATCGAAAGGCGGGCAGGGAAGGCTCGAGACGAAAGCGTTTGGAGATCACATCATTGCTGATCATGTGATTCTCAAGGCCAACATCGAGCAAGGCATAAAAGGTGAATGGTGTGCTCTTGTGATCAAGGACGTGCATACGCAGTTCAGGTACGTTTACCCGTCGACCAGCAAAAGCACGGAGCAATCCGTTGCAGGGATCCAGCATTTCATTTCCGGTAGGGATGAGGTTGAGGTTCTCTACACTGATAACTCCCGGGAATTGAAAGCCGCAATAGAGCAGTTGGGGTACCGTCATCAGACCTCCATTGAATATGTTGATTCTTCCAAATCTTTCGTGGAAAGGGAAATCAGACATCTGTTGGAGGGAGCACGTGCGAACCTTGTCCAGTCAGGGTTCCCACTGTCGATGTGGCCATTTGCCATCCAGCACAATGCAGTTGCGACCAACATCCTGCCACAGTTGAATGGAAATGATTCGCCATGGTACCTCAGGTTTAACAAGACCTTTGATGAAGCTGAGATACCTTTCGGAGCAAAGATACTGTTCTGGAACAACCCTGCACGAGCTGACAATCAGGCAGGCAAGACTTCGCCAACATCGAATGAAGGCGTGTTTCTCGGGTACCATATTCAGCCTGGGTTCGCATGGAAGGGTGAGTTCCTCGTTGCAAAACTAGAAGGGCTCGATTACCATATCGAACATGCGTCCCTCACGGTACAGCGAACTAAGCGCATTGAGCTTCCGACCGATGAGTTCATCTTCCCGATGAGGTTGTTGAAAGACCCTGCATCTCATCCACCTGTTGCCAATGCTAGGATACGAGATGATCCTGTGCCGTTGGAACGTGGGCAAGCCCACATCGAGGAACCCGCCGCATCGGAGAAATCCGAAGTGAAGACCAAGCCTGTCGTGCCCGACAAAGGCGGCGCATTCGACCCGAGCATAATGCCTGATGGGTCACCAGTACCTGATGGCTATGTGTGGGATGGGGTTCGGCTCGTCCGTAGGAAGGCCGGATCCAAAAGGCCTCCCGATATCCCGTCTGACATGTGGGTCATGCTCGGCAGCCAGGACCGAAAGGCCCTAACCCAGCAGTACGAAGATCAGCTCCGTGCAGATGCCAAGAAGGCAGTGCTTGAGACAGCAGTCTCTTCGGAGGCCAGATCCGAGCACCCCGAAGCCGCATCGAGTGCAAAGCCGACCAGCGCCGCCCGCGAGGGCGAGCCGACATTGCCTGTGATCCGGCACGCGCCTGCGATGTCCGTTCTTCCGGAACGTGACAAGTCATCGAAGGAGCCGCATCGCCCGCAATTGCGTGAGTTGGTCAAAGAGCGAATCAAGAAGGTTGAATTTGATGTTGCTCTTGAACTGTTCAGTGCAGTCGTTGCCAGGCTTGTACCAAAAGCCGAAGTAGCCAATACGCCAAAGGCCCAAGCTGCCCTTGACAAGGAATGGGAAAACCTTCGAAAGAAAGGCA